TGTTTCAGCATCTATGTTTGTCAGTGCATGCAGTAATCTTGTACCAGATTCTTACTGACCCCATTGGAGGCAATTTGGTAGTAGTAGTCGAGGTTTCTACATCATGATCCTGACCAACTAAGTTGCGGTCGGACCATAAAGCTACATTGCAATGGAGTTCTGCCAGCACAATATTCAGCACATAAAAGCAAGGCATCTTCCTACCTTCCCCTTTAGATTTATTTGATCCCATATCATATCCTCACAAACAATGCATTTCTCATTCGTCCTCACTGTTGTGGCTGCTTTGGCAGCATCATTATTCGCCAGTCCCATCGACAGCCTCAGTGATGAATGTCCCTTGTTTTGCTTCAGGACAGAATGCTGCCCTGATCAGATATGCATGCCGACATTCTCAGACCATACAGTGAGTATGAGTAAGTTGCATCCTGGATTTAACCACACGACTCACCAGTGTTGTAGGTCATCTGGCAATGCGAGTTCTGAGTGGCATGTCGTGACAGTGAACTGAAGTGAGTCGTGTTTCTGCTTTCACATTGGTGCAGTATGGCTGATGGCACAATGTGTGAGTTAATAGCGGTTTTTGCTTGCTTCTGAACAAAATTCACTGCCACTTGAGGAATGGAGATCTCGGAATAGAGGAAATCTCAAACATCTATATGTAACATATGACTGAAGTACTTATGACACAGTTTTGTAGTCTCGTGTTGGATTACGGAACAAAGTCCAAGCAGCAGATAGCAGAGTGAGACAATACGAGTGCAACCCGAGAATGGGAAGGATGACGCAATGACGTCAGCTGAGAAAACTAATATAAAAGTGTCATTTCCTATACTACACCATATTTTTCTGTCACTATGCTAACCTAAGATAGCCCTCAAGAAGCTTCTGCAAACATCACATGATGGGACGAGCCTGTGACTGCACTACTATTACTGCATTTGGCACCAGGACTCCAGAACATTAATGTATACAGCCATTATCGTACTTAGGTGATTGTACAGAACAAATAGCTTTACAGTAAGTACAGAAAATTAGGATGGGTGCAAGGATATTATGTAGTATAGGTTTATAAGTGACAGTTATAACAAGAATAAAATATAAAGACCAAGTTTAATTTAAGTGTGCATCTTTGAGTGCTGACATTATTGCAGAGGGGAGTACATGATGGCCTTGGTATCAATTTGCAGCCCAAGCTGCCTGTTTGCCATCAAGTCCCTTGTGATAAGCATCCATGAAATGGCATGATCTGATGGCAAACCTAATTTTTATTAGTGTTGTGTAGGTACAGATCAGATAAGGATCATGCTTACTTTCGCATGCTGGTTAGAGGAACTGCACCCAATGCTTTCAAAACATTGTGTTCTAGATTAGCTTCCCCAGCTGATAATGGATAGCAGCAATACAGCTGCTTCACATACCCCCAGCATTGTTCGATAAAACTGAGTTCACAGTGAAATTTTGGAAGGAAGAGCACCTTTTTTTTTGTATCCAATTTTTGTCCATTGAGAGTGAGACTCTATGTAGGACATTACTATCTAGTCTCGGGACCCCATGTCCCAACCCCATCTCAAATTCCCAGATGCAATGATGTAGGGCATACCCCCATCATTCTGCTGTTCCCACCAGCCATTTTAGGTGGGCAATTTGTCAAAGAGGGGGGTGACTATAAGTCAACTAGCGTGTAAGGTAGTACTGGCTAAAGTGTCAAATAATGCGTGCTTGGCCACTTGCGTAGACCTAACAGAAATCAAGTAGGGGGTGCAATAGGTGAAAGTATGGGGTCAAGTTCTCTGATTGACTGAGGCCCTAGGGTTATGCCATTGATCTTGTGTTGATGAGTGAGGTAGAGAGTTTTAGTTGGTTCTAGGAGCGATGAGATAGAGTAGGGTAGAGTTCGGTTGAGTTGAGTTGAATTAGAAGGGGAGCTTGGTGTAGTGTAATGTTGATGAGATTATATGAGGATAGGTTGGGTGGTAGAACGGGAAGGCTGGGTCGCGGGCAAGGTAATGACTGTGCTATTGTATCTGCATGGAGGAATCAGGTAGGCTTTGGCTTTGGCATTAGTACTTCACCTAGTGTGGATTTCAGTCAGCATGTCGCATTTACATATCGGGAGAGGTGGGGTATGGCATCCTCTTTCAGCTAACAGATAAGGGAGTGAGGTGGATTTACATCCTAGCATGCATGCTAGTATGTGGGGCTCTCTTTGGTATTGTTGGCAATCAAAGAGGTAATGGTGTACTGATTCTTTGACATCTGGGCAGTAGGGAAGAGCACCTTGAAGCCCCTTAACCCACACACTCTCTCCAGGTTCGACTCAACATTAATGAAATCTGGCTGGTTGTAGAGAATACGGCGACAGCAACAGGAGGTTGAACCACGTGGACAGTCAAAATTCTTGCACTGAGCCTTCAAGTTACTGACATCAAAACCATGCTCCTCTAGAATTTTTGCCATTCCCTTGAACATTCCAGCTTCTGTGTGACCCTTGGGAAAATAAAAATCCTGTGGGGCACCATTAAAGACACCGTTAGCAATGCAACTTTTTGCATTAAAATCTTCCCATCTGCCCTGCAAACTTGTTTCCCTTCAGCATCCCTCACTGGAGCATTAACCCCCCAGTCCTTGCAACTCTTTGGCATTTTGTGAGCATTTAATGCATCATTGGCCCTTTTCAGGTGAGTAGTTGCATTGTCAAAGACAAACACATGATCATCTTCAGGGTAATCTTTCTCTAGGATTATCATCACTTTCTCAGCATGTTGAAGAATTTCATCATTTGTGAAGTACCCATCCCTCCCTTTTCCTGCCCTAAACAACACTCGCGCAGATTCCTTCCCATTGTGAGACTGCAACCAGCCATAATCTGCTGAAAAAAATCTGCAACCATAAGAGAAGATCCCTCACCCTTTGGTTGTGGTGTTGTGTTAAGACCGTGCTCAGGGGTAAGGCTGAGTCTGAGGGGCTTGGCTTCAGCTCATGCACTGTGCCCCTTACCTGAGTATGTGCCCCTAATTTCGGATAGTAGTCCAACTCAAGTTCTATGAGCTTCAACAGGACATCAGAGCAGAAGTCCTCCGAAGGAGGACCGATGGACTACTGGGTGAGTGTGGGAATTTCAGGTGGAGATTGGTCCGCCCTACAGGGGAGAGTCAGAGGGCTACTGCAGACGGAGCTAACAGTAGGAGCGGAGCGGAGGAGACTGCTCGGACGAAGTCCGAAGCAGAAGGGAAACACGTAGGACAGAGGTACGAGAGTACTAGCCACAAGTCCGACACATGGGAAAGGTGGCGGAGGCGTGGGAAGTCAGACAAGTGGAGGAGCGGCCGACCTAGGGAGTCAATTCCCTAGGCCAGCAAACAGGAGTGGTCAAGGGTTTTGCCCAAGAACAAGGACAAGAGAGCAGGACTTAGAAAAGGTAATATTCAGACTGAAGATCTACAGACAGATGTACATATGTTTATATACTCTAAGTAGGTAGCATAGCATAGCAGAAGGCTATGTGCTGAGTGTACAGAATTATTAGAAAGATGACTGAGACATACGAGAAAGGGGCTTGGAGAATAGTATGTATGCGACAGATTAATAATCACTCGGGTATAGGGATTACTGGTGATCCGAAAAGAGGAACTATGATACTAAAAGGACATAGGACCAGTTGAGTGGTTCCTAGTCTAGGAGTGGACCAGTGAGGCGGTCGGGCAGACCAATCGTCGGATGGAGCAACACGAGAGGAACTGAAGAAACCGAGTGGGTCGGAAAAGTGGAGATGGTGGAGGGAGTAGGAGTAGGATTGGTCGGACCAACAGAGCGGAGGAGTGGAGCTCCAGATAGGGTCGGATGGTAGGGATATAATGTCAGAGGAAATAGGGGTAGTGTCGGAGGAGTGGAGTGGAGTTGGGTGGAGGTAGCAGGGCTAGTCCTGCTGAGATGTACTTCATATTGTTGGAGAAGGAAGGGTGAAGTGGACGGGGAAACAGGAGGTTGGACCAATGGTAGGGATGTGTTTGGAGGTGCTCAGATCTGGTATATGACAGGTTGCCTTTTCCTCTGTGTGAACCCAACATTTTTTGCACTGATCATTGGCATAGGGGGTGTTACAGTAACATGAGCATTACATGTTATTTCATTCTTCATGACCAATGTCATGTGACCACCAACATGTGGCTAAACTGCACAGACTTGTCTAGACCTGGACCATGGTTATGTTTCCATTTATATCTTCTTTCTTTTGATTGCATTGTCTTGAAACATGAGAAGCTCTCACTTCTTCCCCTAGATCACAGAAGCCGCTGCTTCTATCTAACCCTATGCCCTACCCTTGCCCTTACCATTCAACCAGTACTTCTTACCCTTTCTAGACTATGACTCACAGTACCCTGTACCCTTACTGTTCAACCGGTTCTGACTCATACTTACCCTGAACCCTTACCAATGCTTTGGTAACACTACCTACACATATATACAAGTCTTCCTGTAGATAAATTCTCTAACTTGAATCTACTCGGTTCTCATCCTGTACTTGTCTTCGGGTCTGAACTTCTCTTACCTAAGAGAACTCCCTTAGTGCAAAGAACCATCTTCTCTTGAGACAATACTCTTGAGTTGAACTCCTTTCTCTTGGATCATATCCTTGAGAATCTCCAATTGACTCTATGCAAGTAAGGGTCTCAACCCTTACTCAGACTGAGTGCAGGCAAACTCCTTGCTGGGCTAGTGCTGAAAACCATGCTATGAACACCCCTTGCTGGGTTTAGCGCCGCTGGATCTCATCTGAGAGGTTTTGCATAACAGAAGGTAGACTTGTCATGAAACCACACAACAGTCTGTCGCCCAATCTCTTGCCCTTCCTCTGGCTGTGTAACATCAACTGAAGACCATTTTTGAGTCTTTGGGTCCAATTCATACCATGCTGGCAGGAATTGATTTTGCCAATAGTGGACTACATCCTCTCATTTGTGGCCATCAACATATTGCCCATTTCATGCTGTGGTCCATCAAAATCCACAATTTTCCATCCAGCGCTGTGCAGTTGCCAATGAAATGGTTTTGGTGAGCTTGAAATGTTGCTGTACATCTGGCTGTGCAAGATAATCAATAACTGCTGTTGCAGAAATATATTTTCCCAGTGACTGGAGATGAACCAGTAACTCCTCTTTGAGATCTTCATCATCAATCCATGACCTCGTACACTCGCCACCATACTTGGCAAACAGCAAATTTTCATGATCCAAAATGTATGATTTTGACCACTCTCTCACATTTTGTGACATGTAAGTCCCTTTTCCAACAAATTGTGCAGTCTGCAGTGCCACAGCTGACCACAGTGCACCAGTTACAAAGGCTTGCAGGAAAAATTTCATCCACATCAAGCACTTCTGCAACAGTGAACCAAGGGAAGGTGGTTTGTGTCCATGTCCCTTGAAGTTCCTGTGTGGGTAAAGTAATTTCTTCAGGTCTGTTAATGCCAGAGTGGCAGCACCGACGGTATGTGACATCTAGAAATCACCCAAATGCCACTGGGGAATGGTTGTATGAGTATCGTGATACTGCAATGATGGTGCAACTTCATCATCCATGTCTTTGACAGTGTTTTCTTGATGGCTGGTGTGCAAAGCTTGGGTGATTTGTGGTGAGGAATGTGTTGTTACAGAACTTGAGTCTGTTAATGAATTGTCATCAGGCAATCCCATCATTGTGGCTGCATACTCATTGAGATTTTCAAAGCCTTCAATTGGTCCCAACTCATGGTCACCAGCACCATCATGGCCTCAGTAACCCAAATCAATGTCACACTCTGATTCCTCATCACTACTCTCCAAGCCAATGTCCACTGGTTCCTGCAATGCAAGTGAGAAATCCTCAGAGAACTCTGCCTCTGGCACTTGAACCAAGTCCAGATCCTTAGTAGAGAGTTGGATAGCAGCACCAGCAACATTTTTCCTGAGTTGTGTGAAAATATCGCCCGAGACTGACAAAACACTCTCAACTGGGAGCTTAGAAGGTGGGGAAGTGATTGAAACAACTGATTCACAGCCTGAAGCTACTACAGAACTTGAAGATATACAGTCTATTGGATGACTCTGTGTGGGCATGAGCATTGGTCTCCAATAGCCAAAAGTGAGTAAAATTGAAAACTTACATTTTCTTTATCTGCTGAGATTTTCCACTTTTTTGCCTGACTCCCTAGGTTCTTGATTGCAGAACGGACTTTTCATGACTGCTTTGGCATCTAGACAAGTTTCCATAGTGGGCAGACAGCAAATGTGAGAGGCGAAGCTGAGTTTGGACTGTCCAGGGGCTGTTTAGGTACAATGTATACCTCATATCTTGCTTGTATTGCTATCTCCTCTTTCAATATGACACAAATGATGATTTTGGAACAGATGAATTGTTGAGAAGGACCTGCACTACAACTTATCCGTCTTATTTTTCCTCTAACTTGATCTTGTGAACATCCTATGGCATTTTATTGTTTTGTCACACTTCATCATGGTTTATCATGTGACGTTTGCAGAAACTGCTTGAGGGCTATCTTACTATAAACCTATGAGTTTTCATTAGAACATCTCAGTCCATTACTCGAGACTGAGATGTAAGTTGTTATATTCCTGTCTACGTAAAAAGAGCTAACATACCCTTAGAATATATTCTTACCAGGTACTATACTACACTACCAACCGCCGAAAACCTATTGTAGAGCCCTAAAATGGTCGAGGTGTAGACTAGCCCTGAGAAATATTTATAATATGGTTTTCACACTATCTCTGTGAAAGGTTTTGTTAAGAACTGTGTGAGAGCTGGGAAACAGACCTATAGGCAGTATTGTGGCTGAAGAAAGAAATTACACTAAAATTTAAAATGTAATCTTGCTGATTGGAACTCAAGGGCTTGTTGTCAACCAACATGCACTGTTCATGCACGCAAACCGTTAGGCCATAGATGCTTGTATTTGCTAGGTGTTAATTTATATATGACAACAAGCGGGTCATCTCATGACAAATTTCGCCAAGTCTTTGCACCAAGTCCTAGTCAGTCTCTGCTGTCTAGCAATTATTGTAGTGTAACATGTACTTTGCACAAAGCAGTTCTTGTGAAATTCAAGTTCTATATGATGTATTTTCCTCCACTGTGATTAGGTAAACAGAACTGAGTGTATTTTGTATAGAATACAAATACTGAAAGCTAGCAAGTCTCAAGTCCATTATAGAATTATGGGACAGGATGTTCATGTGAGCTTTTTCATAGGTATACCATAGGTTTGATACTTAGACCTACGGATGAGCCCTGGATTGGACCGTATCTGAGCTATAACCAATCTGTTGCCCAGGTGGGAAAAAAACCTTTGATAAGCATCTGATCTATGAGCTTTACAGCATAATTTATTTATTTATGTACTAAGTCTCCACAGTGTTATTCCATGCTGGTGCAGTGCCACATATTCTACGCTACTATCTAGGCACCAAGGACAAACACACCATATTTGAAGTGGAGGAGGTAGGACTCATGTTAGCAGCTAGACTAATCTCTACAAAATGCGACATCAACTTCCCTATCTCCATATCTGTTAACAATCAAGCAGCCATCCAAAGCAGAAACAGCTTCCAAACTTGCCCAGGATCCTACTTGGCAGACCGCTTTCATTGCATGATGCAGAAAATAGCTAATGACCATGATGACTTCGACATCACAGTACACTGGGTACTGGGACACTCCAACATTCATAGTAATGAAGAGGCAGATAAACAGGCAAAGAAAGCAGCAGAAGGACATCAGAACAACAGCCCCTATTCCCAGCTGCCTCACTATCTCCGACTGGACTCACTACCTCTCAGTATTTCCGCCCTCAAGCAAGCACACCATCAATCCACACAAGCCTGTTGGTCAAGAATATGGGCTAAATTGCTACATTACACATGTATGCATAGTATCGACCCCAATTTTTTTTTCTGTTCATTCATAAAGCTAATCAAATTCTACCCTAAACACTTTACAGGACTTCTAATGTGCCTTTGCACCTGGCATGTCCCACTGAACCAGCATCTTCATTGCATCAGCAAGTCTCCCACCCCTTCCTGTCCCCATTGCCCACACACCAACAAAAATGTACACCACTACCTGCTTGCATGCCCCCAATACTGCCAAGAATGTCACGCCCTTGCCCACACATTAGGCTGCAAAGCCATGTCTATCCCATATGTTAAGGTCGTGCTCAAGGGAAAGACTACTCAAAGGGCTTCGGCTTCGGCTTGTGTGCTGCGCCCCTTACCTGAGTATGTGCCCTTAATTTCCGGTGGGCAGAGGGGAAGTCCGATGGAAGTCCAGGGAGTTCCAGAGGACAAACATTGGTGGAGTTCGGCGGAACTCCGGAAGACTATGTGGGAATGGAGTGAGGCTACTATGGAAGTCCGGAGTAGAAATAGAACAGAGGTTAGACTACCCTAAGGTAGAGCCAGAGAATTAGTCCTAAGGTTTAACCCCTAAGACTTGGAGGTGGACAAGAGATGAGACTCAAGTCCGGAGATTGCAGGAATGAGCAGAACTAAGATGATATTTGAACTAAGGAGTTCCAGAGTATTACAGGAGTTTATATACTGTAGGTATCATGTAAGTAATCAGTCAGCAAAGGTAAGGGCTAGGTACGAGGCATGTGGAAAGTCTATTAGTAAGTGTAACAGATCAAAGCAGTGAAGCTGGAAATGAAGTAAGAATGGACAGATCAGTAAGCAAAGTGGAAAGGTGTACAACCGGTAACCGGAGAGCAGTGTTCTAAAAGGAGATAGGTGTAAGTCCGGAGATGAAAGTGGAGCGCCGGGTGGAACAGGACAGAGAACTGGACTTTCATAGGGGAGAATCCGGAATTCTGGATCCGGAGGTATGGGATATAGTGTCGGAGGAGCGGAATAGAGTCGGGTGGAGGTAGCAGGGCTAGTCCTGCTGAAATGTACTTCATGCATTGTCGGAGAAGGAGAGATGGAGCGGATGGGGAAACAGGGGGTCGGACTAGTGGTAGGGATGTTCACAGGTGGTATTGGAGGTGCTCAGATCCAGTATATGACACCATACCTCTTAATAGGCAAATGCACGGGTCGGGGTAACCTGTGTGGGCTCAGGGTGCAGGTATCCCTGGGGTACGGGTATGGGTCTAGTGTTGGTGTACCCATACCCCTACCCGTACCCTTGGCATGGGTTTCAATGAAAATAGGTGCCATGAGAAATAAAATAATGTTGTACACGGCCAGACAAAGTATCTACAAAGCACACTAGAGTTTCCATGCTCATCTCTGTTGGTCTACACTTGGCGCTGGTTGTCTGCTGTGCCTGTTCACTTGTCTTCATTTGTCTCACCTGCTGACACTCATTTGCTGGTGTATAGGTGCACATTCAATGATCCATGTTGTTTGTTTGTTCATATCATTTGTATGTTCATTTGCGTCGTTTGTTTGTCATTCATCTGTTTGTGTCATTTATTTGTTTACATCATTTGTTCATTTGCATTGTTCATTTGCATTGTTCGTGTGTCTTCATGTTTGTCCAAGCATGTCGCCACTTGTTCCAGCACCATAGGTACTCTATGTATGTATGGACATTCATGCACTCATCCTGCTCATTTTTGCATGTTGATGTACATTGGCACATGTCTGCACCTGCCCCCATGCATTTTTGCTTGGTGCCGCTTGTTTTTGCTTGCTTGCATTGGTACAGGTGCATTTTTTAATTCATGTATGTATCTACATTTTCTACTAATTATATATCATTTGTAAGTGTTACCCATGGGTAAACCCCGTGTGGGCGCGGGTAGGGGTCTGAATCCATCATACCTGGCAAAAACCTGTACCTGCTCTGATGGGTATGGGTTTTTGCTGGGTACGTGTGCAGGTATTGGCTCTGGTACCTGGGGGTTTACCTGTGCTATTCCCTACCTCTTGACAGATGAAGAAGTTATTCCACACCTTATAAACTGTTCGAATTGGCAGACACCCTATCTTCATTTCACTCTATTCTTAGTTACAGCATGACTTACCTGCACACACCAACAATGAGCTCAACCATCTGTCATTGCGCTACCCTACCCCATCCCATCCCTATAATCAGTCTTCTACTTCGACCCCCTCTCCTCCCACCACCCTCAAATAACCATCAAATAATCTGTTACCAAAATCCTATAATCTCACAAATCATCCATATTCTCTCACCTATATGGGATCAAGGCCTCCATTGAAATCAGTCAATTTTGCTAGAACTAGTCCCTCCACCACCTGAGAACCTGTTCTAATATCTTACCTTACTTTGCATTCAACCCAACTCCTATACCAGTTGTGCAAGTTACTGAGAATGCATCTAGACAATCCTTACCTACTCAGTTACCTCATCATGCACTCTTCTTAAAGTCACCTCTTCTTTGCTAGATTGCATGTCTGAAATGTGTAGCAGGAACAGCAGACTTGTTGAGGCAAGCTTCACACTGGGACATTGTACTATCTTACATAGAGTCACGCTCTTAGAGACAAAATTTAGAATTTTTTTAAAAAAAGTTTTGTCTAGAGACTGAGATTATTTGTTCTTACTAGCTCATTGGGTACACCCTTAGCCAAGTACATACCCCAAATTTGAAGCAGGACCAATGTTGTCCAACAATAGGACAAGTGAACCACTTTGGTTTGCTTTGAGGGTCAGGAGGTAAAGGCTACTAGTGGCAGGCCAACTAGGAGCAGGGTAGATGAGGTGGAGAAAGTAAGTCAGAGCAGAAAGGGACAAGGGGATTGGTTTATGGTGCGGAGGGAAGTAAGAGTAGTTTAACTTAGAGCACAGCTCTAAGTCAGAGTAGAGGAGTGGAGGAGTGGAGGTGATGACAAGATGAGACTTGTGTCCAGAGTGAGCAAAGTCCTATGGAGAATTCCCACCAGTAGAAACTGAGGGAAGACAAGTAATATTAAGACTGAGGAAGCTAGCTAAGTACAGGATATGTTTATATACTTCTATGTGAGGAGGCAGTGATCAGTATCGCATAGCAGAAAGCTATGTGCTGAGTGTACAGTATGTAAGTAATTTTACTAAGGAAAACATACACATCGGAGCAGATATCAATATGTACAAGACAGATCAGTAATCAGGCAGCTATAGGAATAACCAGTGATCTGGGAAGTAAGAGTTATGTACTGAAGGGGAAAGTATATACTTAATGGGGAAATGGTTTCAGTTGAATGGAGCCAATACAGGAGGTAACTGCTGAGGTGGCGGAGCAGAAGCGCTAGGGTGGGGATGTTAGAAATATAATCTCAACAGCTCTAGTGTAGCTTACATAATCACATGGACACATGTACTGTGTGTGTAGGACAGGTTATGAGCCCTGGCTTGTAAGCCACCATGCCCCCACTTGCCCAGCTTTGATTTGAATTGCCACTGAACAGTCCCTTGAGCTACAACTCAACCCTATAGGCAAGCTAGGCCTTGAACCGAGCTGTCGGGTCAGCTAGAACCCAGAATCCAGCTGTTTAGATTAGCTGAGAACCTTGAATCCAGCTGTTTTTTGTTTTTTCTGCCCATATACCACCCCTCCTTTTCCCCACCAACTGTCCACTATGTCAAAACTTGCCTTTGAGAAACTCAATGATATGAACTATGCCAAGTGGAGCATGCAGATGGAAGCATTTCTGGATGAACAAGACCTTTGGGACGTAGTGAATAGTACAGAGACTAAGCCCAATCTTGGACCGAATGCCAAGGCAACTAAAACATTTGTCCACAAGCAGCAGCTCACGAAAGCGAAAATCATTCTTCACCTCTCCACTTCCCAACTCCCTCATGCTCCTAATGATGATTGTGATCCTAAGGCTATCTGGGACAACCTGTCACGTATCCACCAGTCCTGTGGCTTCTGCCACATTTTTTCCATGCTTCGCAAGCTCTCAACCATGGTCAAGGAACATGACCAACCAATGCAGGCCTGGGTTGCTTCTGTTCAAGACCTCTCATTCCATCTCGAGTCTGCCAGTTTCGATGTCAATGAAACCATTGTCATTGTCACACTCCTCCATGGCTTACCTCCTGAGTACTCCCCCCTCATTACCACCATAGGTGCTACCCCACTCGATGATCTTAGCATTGCCTCCATTGTCAACCAAATGCTGAATGAAGAATCCTACCATCATGATCAGTCAGAGACAACATACCATGCTACCTAACGATGAGGCAAATTTCACCATGATACCAACACTGACCCACTAGTGTATTTCAGCTGTTGTGGTTTCGGCCACATTGCCAAGAAATGCCCATTGCCACCAATGGACCCCAAATCTGACTCATGAGATTCTTGTAAGGAAACACAAGCCAATCTTACTCACCCCACATTCCTTTCCTCTGATACACTATCCCTTAGTTCCAGTCGATACTGTCATAATGATACATTAAATACATGACAATTGTTATGTAATGGTGATACATAGATAGGCTGAGTGGTCTGGGCATGTAGGCTGTAGGAGTGATACATCAGCGCAGATCCTCCCAGCACAGCAGGTAGTACAGCTAACAAGAGTGATACATCAGAATTGGTCCTTCCAGTAGGGCTGCAGGAGTGATACATCAGTGTGGATCCTTGCAGCAGGTATTACAGCACCAGCTGATACATCAGTACAAATCCTCTCAGATCCTCCTGGCAGGTACAGTTGACAAGAGTGATACATCAGCGCTCAGCATTGGTCCTTCCAGTAGAGCTGTAGGAATGATACATCAGTCCAGATCCTCGCAGCAGGTATTACAGCACCGGCTGATACATCAGCACAGACCCTCCCAGATCCTCCAAGCAGGTTCAGCTGACAAGAGTGATACATCGGTGTGAACCCTTGGTGCTGCAGACATACTGATATATTGCTAAGTGCCATGTGGCATCTCTGAGTCTGTGCTGATGTTTTCCAGGTGCTGGGAAATGTAGCTTGCCAGACTTTCCTGGCACCACACTTCCAGCTGAGCAGAGTGTCTGTTTCTTTCATGGTCACCTACCTTTGACGTTGAGTTCGGCATAGTTTGCACATCCTCACTTGTTATTCCTCTCGTTCTTTGCACTCGGTCACCACTCCCTTAAATACTTGTTGTAATTGTTTTCCGTTATCATATGATTATTAGTGCATCACATAATAGATCAGATTGGCATGTTCACACCATTACTATGCCCTCAAGAATCAGTGCATGATCAAACTCATGCACAGGTTTCCTCGAGCTAATGCTCAGTCCAGCCCAACCTATTAGATCGTGTCACTGATTTGGAGCCAGACGAAGCTGGAGTGATGTATCACACCTTGTTGCCACAATTGTAGTGAGGTAAACCACCAAAAATTTCTCTAAGTTCTCATGAGCAGTTTCTGGTGTCAAACTTTTACTTTTACTTTCAAGATCCTAAAACAGTATGTGCACAACAAGAAATGATATTCATCAAAAGATCTGGGCGAGTGAAACAAATTGAAACCTGGTCTATCAATATGAAAAGCGATTGTAACATGCAGATCCTTATGCTTTCGCCCCCACCACAACATTGCAAGAAGACAAACTACACATTGATTACAATATGCACAACAGCTATCAAACTGAGGGGACCACCAATATGTAGTCAGGCCCCTTTCCTGTAAGCACATTAGTGTTCGGGTTCTGGGGCAGAACTTTGGGTAGCTGACCTAGTAGTGTCTTGCCTGATGGTATTTGTAATATCATTGCGCTTTGATCCCACATGGACCCGCTTAGAGTGGCCAGTGACAAGACCATCAGAGACTTCGCTCTTGTTGCTATCATGGTGCCTGTGTCTTTTGGAAGTGTGGGGAGGAGGTACACAGGTCGGAGTTACATCAGGGGAGTCTGTGGATTGTTCAACAGGCAACAGCATCAAGATACTGACTGCAGAGGGACTTGTAGAGTTCATGGTTGATGGGGGAGGTGAACTCTGCGCAGGAGCGGCAGCTGAACATCGTGTGGGTGGTAAAACATTTTGTGAAGGTGGAAATAGATTCTGTGTAAGAGATGCTGCTGAGTCTTCTGGGAGTAGTGGGGTCTGTGCATGAATGACTCCTGATGGTGGTATTTCTGAAGGAGGGACTCCTGGCAAGCTTTGTGGGAGTGGCATATCCTGACTCATCTCATGACGAGACTCCATGGAGACCTGTGGTGGGCATGAGGGTGCTTGTTAGTCAGTAGGTGCAGGTGACCGAGGTACTTGTTTCTTCATGAGATCTTGAAGGAACTCAGTCAATGAGGGAGGATTGGACACTGGCTCAGTGGGCAGAATAGATTGTGGTAGAGTTGACTCAAGTGTGATGGTAGAAGGTGTGGGAGCACACACGAATGGTGGTGGAGAAGGATATGTCTGAGGCAGGGGCTGGGGTAGAATGGGCCCAGTTGTGTATGCCTTGCCTGGTCCAGAGGTTTCTGCTGGTGGCTGCGATGCTGATGAGATCCAAGAAAAATCATCATATGAATTGATGGAGGAATATGGATTGGAAGATAAAAATGGGGAAGTCAGAGGCAGCTGAGGTTGTAGGCTACTCAAATGCAATTGGGAATATCCAGGCGATGATAAAAAGGCATTGGCGAGAAGATTGAGTTCATCTGACTCATCAAGGGGTGGAAGAAGAGTGGCAGTGACGTTGGATGAGTCGGACATTGCCATGGCAGGATTTTCCATGACCATCTCATTATTAATATTGTTCATCGACTCATCTTTCTTAAGTCCTTTTGCTGCAAACAACATCAGTTTGATATGCAGGGTAAGCTAGTTTCACACTTACAATGTGCGCAATTAATAAATTCCACCCAAGGTTTCATTATCGTCTTATTGAAATCTGGATATGCTTCTGAAAAGAGATTCCCCATCTTGGTGTGTCCAACATGGAAGCTGCTGACTTCAATCTTTCCTCCTAACGCAGGTGTAGGCCCACCCATGAGGACAGAGAAGGACCACCCTGTGAGTTGCTCAAGCTCTTGGAAGAACTCTGCCAGGATGTTAATGAGCCAATCAATGGTGCTGCGAATGAAAATCAGCTGCCATCAAGTTATGAGTAAGGTCAGCTTACACTTGATGATTTATCCCTTCCCCGTCTTCCCAGCCCCTAAGTCCTGACTTTTCTTCTCATTCAGCTGCTCAATATATGCTGCAACTTCAGCTTTGACTTCTGGGGTCTTGGCATTGTACAACTCCTGCTTTACGACAGCAATCCTCTTGGGAAACTGACCTTTTTCCATGGAACTACTTGTTGGATCGCCAGCAGTGGTTGATATATCAGTGTCATCAATATCCTTTTCTCCCCTCTTGTCCATTCCATTACCTAACTTCACGCAATGATGAAGACATTGTATCTTGGCATCTACAGCAGGCTTCATGCAGGTTGCAAAATACAGCTTGGAATAGGCTTTGTGGGATTGCAAAGAATGGGCTCTTGGTGGGGCTGTAATATTGGTGAACACTTTTTGGCGAGTTTTTTCTCCATTATTCACTGCTTTGCACAATGCCTTTGATGAACCCCAGTTATTACGAAGCTTGTTTATGAGTTGCTAATGCTGGGAATGCGTCAGTGTATGATGACGGCAAGTACTTGATGTATGTACCAGCTTCTGCTCTTCATACACCTTACTAACAACTTGCATTGGTTCTTCATTTAGAGCTTCATCTAAAGGAATGTGGGGAAACACAACAACCCACTCAGGAAATTTGGCACCCCAAGCCTCATAAAAGGGCTTCCAGAAGGTACTGTAGTCCCTCCTTGCTTGACACTGTTGATATTGCTTGTAGAATGTGTTAACAAATTCCTCCTCCTCTGGTGATGCCCATCGTTGAGGAGCCATCTGAAATAAGGTTAGTGGTACTCTGGGAGACATTTAATTAATATGTTGCATACTTTTTATAGGGCTGTTAAACTTTCAGTGTGCAAGGATAGGATGAGGAAGAAATTTTGCCTCCAACCGTCTTGCATGACAAAGCCAATTGACCTTCAATCTCACTAAAAAATATGACATTGTGTCGGAAATTTCTAGGCACCATTGTAAATCCTTGGTAGACATTTTAAGGACCATTTTTCACACGGGCCATTTTATGTATCTGAATGATACACAATTATATTTTAAGACCTTCTAATGATTGCCTTTGACCATTACAAGGCATCAGGATGGCTGTGCTGTGACACGTGAGCGACGGGCCTTGAAAGGTATTGTAAGGTGTCACAATGCTGACAACTATCTTCGAATAGAAAAATATCATTTTGTTGGTTCACGTGATCTTGCAACTCCCGTAGCATCATATTATTTCTTTTGCTATTCTATAGTTGTAATTGTATTGTTATCTAATCTAATTGTATCACTATCTAATGCAACTGGTGGTATTACAATCATTATCTAATCTTATTTAACTATCTAATCTTAACTAGTACCATTACTACCAACTATTAATGTCACTTTAAGGGATTCGAACGCTTGACTTTAACCTTATTACTTAGTGGAACCATAGTAATGTTGAGCATAGTTACCATTCAGCCAAATGGCCGATGTTTTACATGGAACCCCAATACCCTATATACCCATCTTAAGGCCCCTATAAGGCCCCTATAAGGCAACAGACGGTAATAGCAAAGTAAGTCATTTGACACAGTTCGAACTTCAAATGAAAGTGCTACAGCGTCTGAACATCATCTGAATTAAAACACATTGAACAATCCTAGGTACATTATGCGTATGAATAGCTAAAGACTGTAACAACTGAATCACTTGTACTTTGCCACCTTAGACTTGCTCCGGGTACTAACACGCTTGACCTTTGGAGCCGCTGCAGGTGCTTCTGAGGTTGCCATGGTCTCGGTGGCAGGCTGCGCTGAAACACGACTCCGACGGGTAGGTGCTTTTAAATTATGACCTGTTGGTGCAGGCGGACCAGTTACATTGTCCGCCATGTCAGCAAGTGACAATTGACCCATGTTTGCTTGCAGCTGCGTAGTAGAAGCAGAAGTGATGCGTGTTTGACTTACGGACATCTGGGTTGAGGTATAGTTCAAGGCAGTTGAGACAGAATGGTCATCCTGGATGATGACGGCAGAAGATGGGGGAGCTGCAGAGAGAGCGGAAAGGGTAGAAAGAACTGGGGAAGGTGTACGTGCAATCGAATGAGCTGGTGAAGGAGTGTGGGTGACGGGGTCCATGTTATCCAGTTCCTGCAAGAAATCATCCTCCCAAGTGCAAGCGCAGAGGCGGAAGGTGCAGTAGATGTAGGTGCACTATTAGACAGTGCCGTGCTAGTATTAAAGACTTCCTTGTTGAAGTACTCCATCACGCTGATTGCCCATGGGGTGCTTTTGAATAGGTATTCTAAGTAGAAGTCGTAGTCCTTCTGGTAATTGATTTTCGTCTCTGCTCCCATTGCAGTGAGCTCGGCATCATGTGTCAACAAGAAACGTGCCTGTGAGTGAGTGATGAGCAACGCCAAGTGAAGACGTAAGAGAAACTTGCCAATATAGCCGCACCCGCAATCATACCCTCTGAGACACTCTGCGCACCCATATGCAGACCCCTGCCCTTTGGATGGCCCCGTGTCTTCCCACCGAGTATCACCTTCCCAAAGACTTCAACGCGCACAATCTGGAATGAGTAAAGTTAACAGGTGTGGTACTCGGATATTGGTTGACAGTGCTTACTTTGACGAGGACCAGAGATTTGAGAAAGTCGTCAGCTGCCATCGCATTGGGTTTTTCAAATAACACAGGCGCCAGCCGAATGTAGTCGCCCTCCCCATTCCTCTTTAACAGGACAAGGAGATCTTTATTGTCTTGCTTTTTTGAAGGCTGGTCGGCAAAGAGACTGGGATTGAGCTTGAAGGGAGAAAAAATAACGCTTGCGCAGTCCTTGATGCTGTGCAGGATATTCGACCTCTCGGAACTGACTGCAGCACGGAACTAATGATAGCAAAGACAAAGACAAGTATCAGCGTGAACTTCAGAATAGAGTGTCGTGCACTTACCAAGGATCCAAAGCGAGTATATGTTTCCATTGAGTGGTGTAGATCTTTGGGTATGAAGAGATAAAGTTCGGCCATGGCGCCTTTGAGTTTTGCGTCAGGAGAGGTCCAACGTGTAGCACTACATGGGTCGACATTAGGTTGAGACGTTGTTGGAAACAAGTTGTTCGCAACCCAAAATTGACAGAACAGCGTGTATTTAGCGTGAGATATTGCCTCTTGAGGACACATAACTCAGATTGTGTTGCATTGTAGGCTTGTTGGGCCATTGCAAGAGCCTACGTGGTACAATTTATATCAGATGACATATTCAAAGACTAACATTACGAGTTTGCTTACCTTTCGAACCTCGTGCATCTGGGCATCTGCACTGGGGACAGCTAAGACCGTCCTCACCTGGTCAAGGTCACTCCCAGATTGTTCGTCTGATCTGTCACTGTCATCAGACTCATCAGACTCAATAGCATTGATTTTGGCTTTGAAATCTTCTCCATCATCCTGGTTGCGTTGTGGCATGATGTCAGTCTGAATCAGAGAATGGAACTGAAATTTCTAGGTGAGAGTAATAGGCGTCTGATGTGAGTTGCCAGGACACAAGGATAAAACAAACCATTACCCTGTTTAAATATCTGAAGGGCGCGGACAGCCTTGATGACAAACTTTGAGCTACACGCAGAACAATTACGTTGATTGAAACACGTTGATGGGAACATTGAGCGCGTCAAAGATTGCCGAGGTTTAGATTCAACTCGATTTCACTAATAACAATGTGTTAGTGACAAAATTGAGAGCGGAGATTAATAATGAAAGAGTAGCGACTCACGGTACAAGCAGGAGGCAACCCTTGGTGCTAGATGCTAGCCATAAGAGGAGCGATAGAGTCTGGTGGTATCTCAGCCTCTATTAGCAGTGTGCGAGAGCTGCATCAATAAGATCAAGGTTTGTTTGGTGAAGAGAAAACAATTTACTCACCAAGTTTTTTACATGCGTTGAGCTGTGCACTTTGAAGGATGTACAGTAGAACCTGCAGGTAATAATATAAGCTAGGGTCCAGGTTAGTTTGCCGAAGTGAAAGAGGCTTACCCGGATCAAGTTTTTTACATGCGTTGAACTGCGTGCAGTGAAGAATACATAATAGAACCTGCAGGTAAAAGAAATAGGATGTAAGATAGAGCCTGGGTTAGTTTGCCGAAGAGAAAGTGATTTACTCACCAAGTTTTCGAGGCATTCTCATAAGGATAAGTCAATAAAGATAAGATTCAGAGAGCTGGTGATAAATAAATTGTAGTTGTGAGAGGGATATTAATAGACTCACATTCACTGGGGCACCTAGGCCTTCATTCAGAGAAACATGTCACTGTTGATGTGGTCGACAACAATGTATTCATCTTGACATTTGGAATCAGGAACCAAAACAGTGCCTCGAATGAAAGAGCTGAGTGGGATGAATATTGATGACGCCCTAGGGAGAGCCTTGACACGAGTGAGTTTGAGGGAGCGATCCATTCTGCGAGGACTGCCTATTCCGGCAGTATAAGGTTGAACAAGCGCAAACTCCATGGGTCCAATGTTCGGGATATGACATCTGAATAAAAAGACCAGTCAAACAAAGGCTGTTTTCTCCGCAGTGAGTTGTATGAGGGCATGGTCGAACCGTGGCGACCCGTGAAATTGTGGGTTGCACCAGAGGTGATCAGTAACCTGCTTCCAGTCAACCGTTGATTCATAATTGACCTTTAGATAGCGGTGCTCGTGAATCTGGATAACACTAAGTCAATATAATGTATCAAGCAACTCAATTTAAAGATACATACCTCAAAATCCGCTGGAATTGTAAGCCAACTCATCAGTTGATGGCCATAGGTAGGCAGAGCGGTGTTGATGAATTCAGAAAGTTTTCTATGAAAAGCTCGAAATGCATGATCTCTTGCGTTGAGGTTCTCAATATCAATGATGGATGAGGGACGCTGCATTGGTGAGCCAAGTTTCACATGACTGTTGAAAGCGATAGGAATGTCTTCATCGGGAAGATTGTCACCAAGTTTTTGTATCCGGTGGTGTTCATCAAGTGCGCTGACACAAAGGATCTATGAACGTAGTTATAATCAGTCCAACTCAATATTAATGAGCCCGAACGATGAACTTACTTGTGTCGCAATGTCCTTTCCATTTGTTCGATGATGGTAAGTGTCTTTGAGAGGACCGTGAAGCTTTTCGTTCGGGCGTGTGCTGTAGTTATGTGCTACTCCCTTATGTCGAATATCGCGAACAAAGTGTTTCCATAGGTGCGTCTTCGGGAAGTCCCAGTCGAGCTTCAAATTCTCAATCTGAGATGTTTCTGCGCATGTAACATACACCTAGAAATGAAGGCGTAAGTGAGTATTAGCTAAAAGGCGACAGGAAAAGACTTTGCCTTGAGCTCGATGTCAAAAACCAGAAGCTTGGCTTCGATTTCTGCAAGCGTGCTCTCGGTATGCATGTCAAGACCGATCCAACTATCCAACTGGAGGTAGCTGCTGATGACCCGGAGAAGCTGGTAGCCCTCTGGAGAGGCTCTAGGCGTCAGGATGTTCAAACCTGCATATAAAGTTTGCTTCAAAATGATGAGTGACACACATGTGTGAAATGAGCAGAAAATCTCACCTTAGAAAGGTCCTGGAACTTGTTTCCATCAGTGAACGAGACATTGATGACAGATTTGAAGTGGTTCAAGTTGCGCCATTGAGGGAAGTTAGCGATCCTGTGATGTGAATTAGATTGTGAGAACAGGATGAGTATTAATAACTTACAGTTCCTCAAACGCTGCCTCGGCCTCACGTCCGAGTGATGCAAGGATTTTCTTCAATTCTCCAAGTAAGTGCTTCCAAAGACCAGCATGCAATGAATGCAATCGGTCCAAACTGAGCATGTCATGCGGATTTGAATGCAAGATGATCCAAAATATATTCTAAGCGTGTTCTTGATATCAGCAAATCTGGATCATGAAAAAAAGTGTAGTGTACCTTGACAGGTCGCAAACCAAGCACTTTTAGTATTTCCTTGCCTTGAGCTTTGCTGAGCCCATGAATGTGAAGCGCTTCTTTTGCTTCCTCCACAGATCTGAGGGGGTAGGTCTTCGACAAGTTGTGAAGCTCCGCCAATGGTACTAAGCAGACGGGGCAAGGGCACTTGCCACCATGGCCACGAATGAGCGACATCATGCACCTGTGAAACAATAAAATCAGTCTTCTTGACAAAGATATATCAATAAAATTAAGAGAAGGGCGGAAATTGTTGCGTGTATTCTTGGAGTCTGGCACCAGTAGCAATGAGGATAACATATGAAAGGGACTTACTGTTCTTCATAGTCAGCAGAAAGAATTAGTATGATGGGGAACAGCCATCACAAAATGTCATTGTGACACTTGCGCAAATACCCAGTCTTTGAGTACTGGGCAGCATGTTCCAGCAGCTTCAAGAACGATTTGTGCCATACAACACGCTTCAGCGTAGTATATCCGAGTTTGCCTTCTTCACCTGCATCTTCAGGAACCTGAAAAACATATGAGTGCAATGCAAACAAATGTGACATGTAATAAGAGCAAGACAACTTACGATAGGTAACCATCCGACAATGCAGCCGCCACCGAATCCCTCGCCATTCCAGATGTGTACTGGCAAGTTTGCGCATCGTACTACAACTGGGTACCCCTTTACTGTGCCATGGGATGATAGCCTTGTCTTGTCAGCATACAAAATGAAACAAAATGGCACGGCGCCATCAACATCGGGTGGAAGAGAAGACTATTGTTTGTTTAACAATGATATACAGCTAGCGTGAATCTACATGCATGATATGAAACAACTGTAACACACTTGGATGTCCCACCACCAATCTCCTGTCCACGGTTCATCAAAAAAATGCTTGAACCCTGTAGCATTGTGCTTGTAAACACAGCACACATCCCAGACAAAGTGCATCGCAAGCAGTGGGTTATCCAATAGATCAAGGGCCCAATCCCATATAGGCCGTGTGTGAACCTCATATACCTGCTCATTCTTCTTGTATGTTACAGGGACTTCATGTTTCAAGAACTGTTAAGTAATGGCTAACACATTGAGCAACATTGTGTATAAGATGGTCAAAGTTTAAACATACTGGTGATAATTCAGCCGCAGCATTGTCCCATGCCTTTGAAAGATTGGCCTCATTCTTCAGAGTTATTTCAGCATGACCTTGAGAGACACGTAAGATGAGGTCGAGGAGTGCATCTATTTGAGACTTAATAAGCGCAGCATCAAGTGCGATCTCAGAAAACTCGAAGTCTGCATGTGATATAAAGGGACGCCACGGCTCCTCGTCGATAGGTGTTTGTTGGGCCTCCAGGGAGACACGGAATTCATCAAAGGGTTGGAAGAGAGTTGGGTGACAAGAGGGAGGATGGTACTCGGTTTTGAACTCGCTGGGCGGTTGCACAGATGCTGCAGGCCGTGACTGAGCAGGCATGGAGTTACTAGCCATGCTGGCGTCAGATAATACTGTGCAGAATAATAAGTGTAATAATATCACTAAAGTAAAAGTGCTTACCAGGACTAGTGATTCCTGGATTGCCGTGTTGTTCCTCGGGCTCAGGCAGTGCATGATCATCTGATAAAAGAGGATACGACTATTTAATTTGAGAATCAAGAAAGTGCTGCTGTGCAACTGACCTTGGTTGTTATAATCCAGGTCCTGGTCTGATGGAGGGTGATCAGCGTGAGCACTGTCGCCGCTCGCGTGAGACTCGGCGGCGTCGACTAGATTTGATGGGCCAGCATTGCCAATTGCATGATCCCTGCAAGCCTTTTGTGCTGGGATTTGATATTATTGGTAGTGACAGCATGATGAAATTAAAAAATAACTCACCTTTTCATTGCTCTCTCTCATAGTTCCGATTGAACCGCTGCTGCTCATCTTCGACTTCCAAGCGCTTCTTACAACTCGTCTCATGTTTTTTGATGCCCTGCACTTTGAATGTTTTACCACAATGAGAGCATGATATTTGTCCTGTCAGCGTCCCTTCAGAATAATTATACTTCCCTTGAGAAGAATGGGTTGAAGCCATCTGAGTCAGAGAGACAACAAATATACGTAGTATGAACTTATTTACAAGGCAGTTGAAGCCTGACAACAGGTGGAAACAAAAGTTGATGGGGAAAGATGGTAAAACAGAACAAGATAGAATATCAAAGTCATACATCGATTACATACCATTGTAATCTATCATGATGGAGCTCTCACGCTTGAAACAATTATTGTGTGCCTTAAAAGGCACCTTTCAAGGTGCCTTGAAAGTCAGGTGACGTGTATCGTAAGCTGGCAGCATTATAATGGCCCTTTACTTTTTTCCGACATGATCTCAAATTGTACAAATGCAAGGTATTGCATATCTAAGTAGTTGACCGCTGAAAGAGTAGATCTCTTTGAGTATAGGCTTTGGTAAGATTTGAAATATCAAATGAAAGGAGGAATATCTCCTCCACTGCGCTAACAACCTGGTGGACACTCTTGCTAGCCTGACAAGCCTCTTCCAATGCACCTCCCACTCCCTCCTGTTGGAGTACATCATCCTCGACAGCACAGGCATCTGTACGAAGGTCCTCAAGTGCATTAAGGGCAGCACGGATATCTTCAGGTAAAATGTCACCACATTTCAGTTGGGAACACATGCTATCAAGGTAGATGTCCACGCAATTGTTGACCAGGAGCTTGATACGGGAGGAAATGGTGTTTTGATATGCACTGCATGAGTTGAATGAATGCCCTTCTCCAAGTTAGTACTACATGAGAAGCACATACACTGTCATGGTGGTCCTAGTGGATTTGCGTGCATAGGACCATAATCGAGTTCCAACTTTGCTTTGCATTCCAACTGCCAGTGGTCGTGCAGCGTTTGCATGAGTGCTCCTCCCCAACAATATCAGTCTTACTACCAATAAAGTAAGGTCCCAGTGTTGTGAAACATACCTTTCCTTCTTTTTTTTGTACCTCAATTGATTCTTCAGACAAATTTCTTCTTTGTGGCTGTTAGCATAACAATGTAAGTATGTTGTCACTGACAGTGCTGGTCATGATGACGAGCATTGACTTAATGCTGAGCAGATATCATTAAAGCCTTACAATCAGTGGTATTCACAGCTGTAATGTTGAGCAGCTTCTAACTGTTCTTCTTCAGTGTTGTGGATACGAGGGTGAGCCATTTTGAATGGTTGAATGATGTTTGCTGAATGGATAGATATTGCACCTAATTATAGTAGAGAAATACACTTGTGTTTAGCAACAGATTTATATGATTTTTACTAACAATCACTTCAACTTGTGGGTTTTCTATAGCTACTGCCCCCCAGGAGCCACATCTATACCTGCCTCTGAGCCGCATGTATTTATTTACTGTCCAGCTCAATCTTAATTTTTGTGTTGCATACTATGCAGTTGAAACTTTTCAGATATCCTGTACATAGAGTCACAGCTTCATCAGCTTGAAACCTTAGTCATGACATTAATATTGTACTTGTCAACTCGTTCACTCACTGTGTTTGTCCCACCTACTTTATATATTATCAGCTCTGAGTCTCTTTTGTATCCACTCTTTATCATTCTACATATTTCTTATTTTGTGCTGATTCATGTTGCCACTCACTCATTAAAACATTAATACTTACCCTTGGCTACCAGGCGGCACCACTGTCACAACTAGTACTTGGTTCCACCACATCTGAACCGCCGGCTGCTGCTATGGGGCACATTTAGGTGAGCAGACTTCTCAAATAAGCTTTATATTGTGCATGCATCATTTGTGGAATCTCTGAGGAGGAAAATTACAGTCATTCCAATATACCACTGATTGGTTGGTACCACAGATTAATGTATCACACTTGTATGATTGGTGACGCAGCTCGTGCTTCATTAACCCTTCCTACTTATTGAACAGTTTTTCTTCCTCAGATGATCTGCTAGTTTGACACCATGTGACACTGCCAAAGTCACAAGGCTACCCTGCATACGCGATGTGCCCTGATGTTCACGAACAAAGACTGCCGAAAAAAGTGGTAGCAGGCCTGCAATGCAAGGTAAGTCAATACATGCACTATTGGGTCAAAATCTCAACTTAACTCAACCACATGCCTCATGCTCACATCCCAGAAGATGTTCTTGCTCATCTGTTAGTTCAGCCTGAAGTCTGAGCCTCAGCCATAATCTCTTCCTCAATGGCCACCGCTCATCAAACTCGATTGCCCAATAATGTTCAAGCCAGCACTCCCCTTGATTTAGGACAAACATCTCAAGCTGTTCCTGTAGCCATACTTTCTGCTCAGATGACCAGAGCACTCATGGCATCTGATAGTCAATACTGTTGATGTGTGTCAGCCACATCAGCATATTTTTAAGTGTACTCACACTTTTGAATTTTTACTAGTAGGATAATGGGTGTCATGGTGTGGTGGGTAGTACCTAATGCTTGCTCATTTATACTTTTTTGATTGAAGATTTGCTGCACAGGTTAGGTGATAAACTGGTCAACCGGTTGCCACTTTAGGTTTCTACTGCAATAATCACGACTGGTGTTAGTGCCTGGTAAGATGCCTGTTCCCTTCTCTTTGCATGCTAACATTCAATGCCTCGACAAAGCAAGGGTCCAAAGCTCGTACATAATGGGTGTCACGGCATGGTGGGTAGTACCTAACACTTGCTCATTTATACTTTTTTGATTGATGATTTGCTGCACAGGTTAGGTGATAAACTGGTCAACCGGTTGCTGCTTTAGGTTTCTACTGCGATAATCACACCTGGTGTTGGTGCCTGGTAAGATGCCTGTTCCCTTCTCTTTGCATGCTAACATTCAATGCCTCGACAAAGCAAGGGTCCAAAGCTCGTACATAATGGGTGTCACGGCATGGTGGGTAGTACCTAACACTTGCTCATTTATACTTTTTTGATTGATGATTTGCTGCACAGGTTAGGTGATAAACTGGTCAACCGGTTGCTGCTTTAGGTTTCTACTGCGATAATCACACCTGGTGTTGGTGCCTGGTAAGATGCCTGTTCCCTTCTCTTTGCATGCTAACATTCAATGCCTCAACAAAGCAAGCGTCCAAAGCTTGTACAATATGTGGACATCGAGGAGGAGACTGAGTACCAATGACATCGTGTCTATGGAGTTCATGATGGTGGGGTCATCCTTCAATCCACTCAATTTGTTTTTTCATCTCCAGTATCTCATTCATTGCCTGAACTCTCATCTGGTGGGAACGAGCCCCCAGACTCCACAAGCCTTTGGGATGAGCTTCTTCCTGGTCTCGATATAGACCAGACAGCACAGCTTGAGCTGCCATCATCTCAAAAAACGAAAAGGAAATGGACTGCAGGGGTATGTTTTTTCATGTCAATGTTCATCTACTCATAGTAATATCTCTTAGGACAATCCATTGTTATTGTGGCTTTCAGAGCATTCAACATATTTAGATGAAATGATTCAGCTCTGTGGAAATGGAACAGCCTGCTCTCTTTGTCATTGCGGAGGCAAGAACCTGCCCATTTACAGGTGCAGGGAGTGTTTTGGGATAGAGATGATTTGTCAGAGCTGCGTGGTTGAACGCCATAGATGCAATCCACTTCATCAAATAGAGGAATGGATGAAAGACTTCTTCAAGTGTGTCTCACTCAAGTCCCTTGGTCTCTGCATTCAGCTTGGCCATAACCCTGGTGAGATCTGTTTGAACAAACAGAGGGCGAATGGGGATTATTTTACCATTGTTGATGCCCATGGGATCCACAAAATTGGCCTCAATTTCTGTGGCTGCGAGATAGCACAGATCCATTACATCCAACTCCTTTGCACTTGCTGGTTCCCTGCCACATCCTCCAATCCTCAAACAGCTGCTACATTTGCTGTCATGGAGTTGTTTCATTTACTGTCCTTTGAATCCAAAGTTTCACCATATGAATTTTACCATAGTCTTGCCCGCCGCACAGATAATACCAGAATCACACCAATCAAGGTATGTGTGACTGCAACATCCATGAGATATACCAGTGTAACTTATGCCAGCATGGTAGGATCGTTATTCAGCATTCCTGTGCATGGTGTGAGAGTGGCATAACCTGAAGCTTCTCAAACGCTCAGGAAGAGGACACCACCCGAATGGCATTGGTACTATGCAAGAAGGTGACTGTGTTGTCCTTTGTCCTGCATGCCCATAACCTGGGAAAAATCTTCCAGAGGGATGGGAGAATGTGGAACCCAGGTCAAAGTAATATTTATTTCTTCAAGAATTTTCCCACTACCAACTACTACTCACTGCAGATGGATTTATGCACTTTTTCTTGCAATTGATGCAAATTTCCGTCTGAAATGGAAAGCAGTGTCAAGTGACCAGCATGACCCCAGCCTCAATGCTGTGTCGTCTTATTTTGTAGAAGAAACACAGTACAAATCTTACCTGGCTGAGCAATTCACGGTGCCACAAGAGGTTCAATTTCACCGTCACAATGTCACTGTGCTCATTATTCTTTCAGTGAAGCACATGTGTCAGTCACAACACAGTCAACATGGCAGACACCAAGTCTTCAAGAGGCCTCGCTGCGACTGGTGTAGGGACTGTGGACTGTGCTCAACACAAGATGAAGCTCACAAGTGGAGTAGGTGATCTTCAAAAAGGGGAGAAGTAAGTGACCGAACAGTTTTATCTGTTGACTCGCCAGTCTGACTTTTTACACAGGTATATAAATATGGACTACCTTGTATTCTCCGTTATCATTGGAAGTGGCACAGCTGTCCTCAATTTGTCTTATGATGTAGCCTGCCAATGGCACAAAAAGATTGGGCATGCTTGGCCTCAATGCCTGATAGACTACAGTTTGACCGCAAGAACAAGACAGTGCGATTTTTCGTGCCGAAGTTCCACATCAATGCCCACACCCCCGCCTGTCAGACAAATTTCTCATTCAATTACTCTAAGGGTGTTGGTCGCATGGATGGGGAAGCACCAGAGCAAGGTTGGGCAAATGTGAACAGGGTGGCTACCAGCACTAAGGAGATGGGTCCCAGGGCTCGTCGCGACACACTTGATGATAATTTTGGCGATTGGAACTGGAAAAAGGTGACAACATTCGGTAAGTTTCTCTTATTGTTGTTACCGCTAGTATAATGTTGAGCTAACGTAAAATACAACAGGTCATGTTCTATTGCGCAAACTGAAGGAAGCTGTGGGGAGTGCCAAGCTCCACAGTGATGAGCTAGCTGAGTTGCAGAGTGTGATAGATGCTGTGTCCCTGAATGCATGGAAATCCGAAGTTGAGACTTGGGAAGGTGATAGTTCACAGCCCAACCCATTTGAGAGCCGCATAGCATGTGAGTGAATGTATCTGTACTTACACATTCCTTTGTTCTGATTTTTTTCTCAAGCAATGACACAAAAGACCGTTCGATTTCAACTGGCCGAGAACGAGGCTCATGACTTACAAGCTGGCATAAATGTTTCTCTACATGATGAGGTATCGCCCTTCATACTTATTTCCACTGGCTTAGATCTAGAGGACCAAACTATCCTAGAATAGACTTCAGCATGCAATGTAGTTTCATATGTACCTCCGACCATGCAATGGTATTACACACCTGGTCTGTTAGCTGCTTCAGTATGGGTGCAACAATGCACGCTCCAAGAGATTCAATCCCTCCCCATACTCTATCAAGTGAAACATCATCCTAAATCCGGACACGTCCCTGCTTCGAGATCCGGGATGCAGATGTAATCCAGCAAACACTGCCTTGTATCGTGATATGCGCGCATGGATCGATGAAAACATATGTACCATGCCGGGCTTTTATAGGCGACATGACTGAGGCTGTCAGATATATTTCAACCCATCGTGTCAACCAGGTCAACCACTGCAGACAATTCGACGACTCACAGATCAAAAACTTGCTTTCCATCCCCAGCACTATCCTGCTCCTGCTCATACACCAACAAGCTCGAAAAATTCGCAGTCAACCTCATGGCTAGGGCACTTGAGAAACAGACCTGCAGTGACAGTTTGTGCATTAGTAATTCAAAGGGAGTACACGAAGAGAGGATTTCTGGGAGCTGAACACTGACTGCATGAAACTGGGAACAGGGAGTTGGAGACATCGCATTTGTGGGTCCTTGTTGAACAAGAGGATGGCGCTAATATTGAGAATAAGACTGACACCAGCACTAGTTTCTATTATCCAAAGTGGATTCTCCAATGGGGCATTGACAAGTGACTAGGATGGAGGTAAGACTGTTGTTCTACTCTTGCTCATAGAGGCACTCCATTATTTATGTAAGTCCATCTCACGATCTAGACTCTAGAGTCCAAGCTACGGTGGGTATTCCTGTGTGGCCACAATCCTTTTGATGGCCACATTTGCCATGAGAGAAGTTAGAACCAGAATCAACACCACTTCCTCCTGGTATACCAACTCTGTAGATTCTTAGTAGCAGCACGTATAGCTGTGTACTCTGGCGACATGCGTACCTAACATGGTTCTCAGGCACGGATGCCAGTGTCTCGACTCTCGTCAGGGCTACATAGTAACAATGGACATTCGATTTAACCTCGGGTGGACTGGAAGCAGGCACTATCAAGATTTCAGATTGGATGAGATAATTTTTTTCCTTATTCTCAGCGAGTTCTGCACTCCTTGCCATCGCATGGGTATATAGGAACTCCAGGTCACGTTCTTAACGTCTCCCTTGCCGGTGTCGATTGTCTCTCCATTCTGTCTCACAGCGATACAAAATAAATCTCTGCTATATCTATCCACTTCTTTCACGCCTAGATGCTCTTGAGGATATCGAAGCTAGCAGTTCTATTAGATCCGAGTCATGACATACTCCTACAAGTCACAAGTGCTGTTTCTGGATCTTGAGCTTTCACAATTCGACAATGATCTACCATTTATTGGGGTCGTGATAAACCCCAGCAACTCAGTTCAGACCAAAAATGCATCCACGAGGACTAGTAAGTAGCTCCTATGCAGGAGGAAGAGTCGCAGTGTCATCTAGGGCTTCTATGTTCAAGCTCACAACTAGACTACAAAATCCGTCATAAGTATTTCAGTCATATACTATAAGTTCAAGTATTTGAGATTTCCTCCATTCCAAGATCTCTAATGCTCGAGCGGCAGTGAAATTTGTTCAGAAGCAAGCAGATTGATCAACTCGGCAAGAAACCACTGGTAAATCACACATCGTGCCATCAACCATACTGCACCAATGCGAAAGCAGAAACACGACTCACTGTAGTTCACTTTCGCAACATGCCACTCACACAAATTTGCATATATAGGTCACCTACCACTATGGGGAGTCATGTGGTTTAATCCAGGATGCAAACCACTCACATCTATTTCGATATTGTCACTCTCAAAGGTGGGTTCCACCACGCATGTCTGGTCAGCGCCAGTTTGACCAGTGACAGTATTTGGGACAATTATGACCACTGCTGTCAAAACAAAAACAATGGCGAAGACAAAGCAGTACGTATTGTTTGTGAATGTGATATGTAATCAAATAAATCTGATGGGGATGGTTGGAAGACGGCTTGCTTCTATGTGCTGAATATTGTTATGGCAGAACTTTATGACGACAGGAAGAACCTATCTTACAGGAAATATATTTGATCCTTGCTCACATGTTCCAACTTGAGAAAGCTACCGCGGTGTGAGGAACGTCCCCACTGTAGGCCCGTATCCTGCATATTTCCCATGCCTTCCCACCATTTTCCCACGCGTTCCACTTCCCATCCGCATCTTCCCCGACCCATCCGCTACACGGAACCAAGCGGAACCCAGCGGAACAATCACATACCACACGCATTATATTCCTTCAGCCTTCGGAACATCCTCCTCCGTCCTGTCCATGTCCTTCCATCCTCACTGGTGAGTACTAGCTATGTTCCCCGTGTCACTAACATGTTCCTATCTCATTTCCCATGTGTTACAGTACTTATACGGATCCTTCCGTTACTCAGGACCGATTCCTTATCTCACAGCCTCACCCAGTTGTAGCATATCGCATTTCGGAACCCCTTCCTATATAGGTAGCAATAGATGGGATCTTAGTTTTTTTACCTTCTGATAGACTCGACTCCACTTCCACTTACAGAGTACTTCCCAGTACTCCACTCACTGTTTAAAATATCTTCCCAAATCTATTCCTGATCACATTGCATCTTTTCCGCCCCCGTGAGTTCCGCTCGAAACGCCCGACATCGGATCTGATGACTTGGAGCAAGTACCAGACACAAGCCTGGTCCGACTTTGCCCAATCATCCTCCTGCAGGCTCGTAGTTTCTTTTCCCTCCATTTGTTCCCCATTAGTTCCGTTTGTTCCCCGTTTGTCCTGTTTGCTCCGCGTTAGTTCCGTTAGTTCCCCGTAGTTTTGCTCGTCACGCGCTGAGTTCCGCTCGTCGGGAACCCTCCGCATCTTTGTGTTCCCAGTCCTAGTAAGGACCGGAACCCTTCGGGTCACTAGACAGAGTCTAGTCTTTGTTTCCTCACACTTATTTGAGGACTCACTACCCAGTAGCAATCCCCTCGGGACGAGTATAAGCCTCGCACCCTTGTTAGACTTCTGATTCACACAGAGTCTATTTTCCTCACCCACAGCGGGCATTCTCGTCAGAGAACTAGTGAGTCTACCCAGGGTACTTTACGTGGATCAATGGGCCTGCATTGCCTTAGGGCCAGTTCGGTAACCACTCGTTTGCGTCCGTTTCATTTGTTTTTGTCCGTTTGCGTCCGTTTTCATTTGAAATGGACAATCGTGTTCGGCAAAGTGTTCGTTTCCTGTCACGCTGCATAATGTGGTGTCACACCAGTACTTGTTTGCTTGCTCTCGTCAATTGAATATCCCACTGTCCCTACTCTGTTAACTGCTACCCACCATGCCACCTAAGAAAGAACACAAACTCTCATCCAATACCAAGGAGAACATTAATCTACTTGAGGAACCTTGAGAGCAGCCTGTCAGCACCAAGATTCCATGGAATGCGAAGTGGAGTTCTGGGGACGATGCAGCACTCCTCGACTGTCTCAAGACTTTTTCTGATGGAAACTCAGCTGATAATGGAACTTTCAAATCTGCAGCATTTACAGCTGCTGCGAAGGCCCTCAAAGACAGTCACAAATCCAGTGGGATTGCCAGCTGTTCTTCAGAAGAGATATATCTTGAATGTGCAAGGCCTGCATATGCACTGAGTTCATGGAGCAATTGGCAAAATACTGGCTTGGACAGGCCCATCATATTGTGGAAACGACGGGGATGTCCTGATAGGAGTTCCTGAACCCATGTGTGGCCTGTCAAGATAGAGTTGTGCTGGGGAATCTTGTTGAGATAGGGCAAGGTGGCCACAGCCACAGCAGCAGCTAGCACTGCAGCTCTCTTTCTGTGAGTGTGTGTTGCCTTAAGAGAGGTTTTGAGGGCCTTTCTCTTCTGTGATGATGAAGAGGTCATAGTTGTAGAGCTCAAGCAACAAACTGATGGTTATCATTCATTATCTGATGTAGTGTCTACTATCTACAGAGTTTGTATGAGTGTGACAACGTGTGACACCCGTGGGAGCGTCCGTTTCACTTTAACGTCCATCTATTTCAAAACAGAACAGACCCAAACAAACAAAACAAGCAGTTGCCAAACGGGCCCTTAAGACTTGTACATCAGGAAATTCTCACATTGCTTATTTCAGCACTTATCACTACTTTTTGTCACTTTTCACACCTGTGACTCCCACTTAACTACTGTGATAATAGGTGATAATAGATGGGTATCACCCCTCTAAAGCGAGGGAAATTCAAGGAATCAAGGCCTCCTTCAATATTGCTTGGATAACGAGGGACTTTATACAACTGTAGGGACAGTATTACTAGGGTTACTATCATTAGAATCATGTGATGGCTACCATTGCCATCACTGCCCTCAACGTCAGCTAATGACTCCCACCTTCAAGCTTGCTGTGTGGCACGATGAGCTCACATATCTTGTGTCTAAGTGGTCAGACCAACACTGTGTTTCAACAAGCTATGAGTTGGTAATAACTATGATATGTAGAGCCAACATTTGTGTCTGTAAACTAGAGTGGCAAAATACTAATCCTCCTCCTCCTCCTCCTCCTCCTCCTCCTCCTCCTCTTCATCAGGTGACTTGACAAACTCTGTGCTCTTGGGCACTTGGTGATGCTACACAGTGGTACCTTTTGCCTTCTTCAACATCCTCTGTTTCTCCTTGTCAGGCCATCCTGCTGTGGGTACTGCCTTCTGCTTCCGAGGGACTCCAGAGTCCAAACACTTCTTACATGGTTTGCTTCTGCCTGTGTGAGGGCTTTCCAGTAGCAGGTATGACCCTTGAGTGCGTCTCGAAGCTTGCAAATGTCCCCAACCATCCCAATATTTGAAGGACTAATGAACTTGACCCTCTGGGGCCATCCTACAAGCTGCACTCTGTACATTTTGACAATGGTGGTATTGTAGTTGTTGTAGTTCATGACAATACCCTTTTTTTCAGTCACCACAACTGAAACTGACTGTTAGATGGGGACAGCACATGTAAAACAACATCATTGCTCACCCAGGCCATGGAGGATCAATTTGTGAACTTGCTTTTGCACTGGTTCCAAAGAGTTGCGCTCATTGAGATCTGCAGGATAGTCAACAACAAGTCAATGCATAAACAAAAACATTTACTCTGATTCTGTGTGCACGCCAAATGGTCATATTGACGCAGGAAATCTGCCATTGGATGCTCGTAAACGTCTTCTCAAAAGTCTTCTATATTATCGGTGTCATGCATCACACTTTGAATTGTGTCATTGATGTGACCATGAACAACAAATAGTGTTGCATAGACACCGGTGTGAAATCATAGGTCATCCAGCTTGAAAGTCAAGCATCAAGTTAATTGATGGTAGTCAATATTTTAAAACAGATGTACCTCTTTGACAATCCTATCCATTGTGGCCGCTACATCCCACACAGCTGCCAAATTGTTTGCACAAACACTAAGCCCCTTCTGTTCGTGATGCTCATTGATAGCCACAATGTAAGCTAACTTCTCTTCCTTTGTCAAGTTCTTTGTCTGGGGGTCATTGGCAACTATTTTGTGAAGCTCGGCCAATGTGTATTGATACCCTACAGGTTGGTCTATTTGTGATAAGATAAGCATAATGATATGATTGAGAACATTGAGTAGACTAACCTGCATTCATCTCCTTTGCCTTAGCATGAACAAGTGCATTGTTAACTGCAGCTTGCATGACCTGTGGTAATTTGTCTGGCTTCCAATGATGTCATTGATGTACTTTGGAGTGATGCTATGAGTGTGGGAAAACACCTCAATCTTCATTTTCTGTTCAGCAAGGTACTCAGCGACAGCATCATGTAAGAGCTTCGTTTTCTCCATCTTCTACTCCCTCCTGATCTTTCAAGTTGCTTTCGGCAGATCTGTTAGCCAAGGTGGGGGCGTACAAGAGGTCAGGTTTGGTTCTGTGCAGCCCAGCTGGACACGTTTCCCTTGCGGAGCAACTCTGACATCTGCCCACCAGTGCCTGACATCTCTGCTTCAGTGGTACTTGGCAAGCCTTCAAGATCCTGGGCTGAGGTTTCAAAGGGCTGAGGTGACAGCGTGTGAGTGGGAGGGACACTTGTGTTGATGGTGGCGATGTCCTCAGTAATGGCTGCAATTACATCAATGATAAGTGGCATGGTGTATAGGGAGGGGTCATCCCAATTGATCTCATTGATTGAGGGAACAGGTCCACTCCTGCTCATCAGATAAAATTCATCACCAGAGGAGTATGGTAAGATACTTTCCCCCCCCAGCAACCAAATCCATGAAAGCTCCACCCGAGATAAAATTTCCATTAGCATCAAAATCCTCTGCGGAATATATGCTGGTCATCCTTGGAACTGTGGGCAGGAATTGGGTCAATGCAGACACAAATTCAAAGGTTGAACTGATAAAAAAACTTGGGGGTTTGCATGTGACAGACTCTATGGATCATGCAAACAAACAATGCATGATGCATTCCACGCCTCATATCACTCAAAGGTATGGTTGTAACAGTGTAAATTGGTGTAAGATCTTCAGGTACATATGAGACTGCTAAGGTCACATGCACATATCAGAGGCAGTGCAAAATGCTGTGCTAATCAGGGCATACCTTCGAGATGCATATCACACAATATAACATAGGTTGGCTGGAATGACATCGACATGGTGGTGTAGGTTTGCCTCAACAATATACCATTGCTGAGTGGAAATCTCAAAGGAGTGGCTGTATACTTGCTGAGGTAAATGCTGATTTGATCAGCCAGGATGGCTATATATTCGTCAAGGTAAATGCCAATTTGATCGGCAAGGTCGGCTGTGATACATTTATCAAGGTAAATGCTGATTTGATCAGTGAGCTCATTGACAATATATTCAATATCGCATAATATGACATAGGGCAGCTGGAATGATGTTGACATGGTGGTGTAGGTCCGCCTCAACAATATACCATTGCTGAGCACAAATCTCAAAGGAGTGGTTGTATATTTGCTGAGGTAGATGCTCATTTGATCAGCCAGGATGGCTATATATTCCTTGAGGTAATTGTTGATTTGATCTGTGAGGTCGGCTGTGATATATTCATCAAGGTAAATGCTGGTTTGGTCAGTGAGCTCATTGAAAATGCTTGCAGAATGATGAATGCCCTTATTACGTGACTTTGAGCCCACCTGGACATCAATAATCAGTTGGACACAGGAAGAAAACTTCCATTGCAAGATGGGCCAGCAATACAAGCGTCAAATATCGACATGTACATTGAAGTTGAGACAACAGATGGCCCAGCAATAAGAGCGTCAAATATCAACATGCATGTTGAAGTTGAGACAACAGTGTGAGGCAACCTCAAGGATGCAGTGGTAAGTACTTGGACCCACAACCATCACATACTTCAGTCATTTCCATACATAGAACTGGTGCCCCAGATGTGCAAAAATATTGTAGAACCATGGCCAGCCAGTCCTCAGTCGGTCAATGTAGAATACATTAGAATACATGCTGGCCAACATTGTACATCCCACTATGTATAATAGACTAGTGCATTATAAAAGCATGACAGGCCAGTAGATGTAAGGTGGTTGCTGACCAGACTAAATTATTTATTATCCTTCCTACCCTTGTGCTAGGTATATTACATGTAAGATAAGTGCTGGCCGGTCTCTCACATACCCCACTACCTTTGATAGACTATATTTATATTATTTTGATTGACTGTAGGCATGTGATCAAGCTGGCCTTCAATGTGCCATATGATGTGTGCATGTCCTCAGGAAGGTAAGAACCTCCCCAAGACCAGTCAGCCCAGGTAGGCAAATCTGCATGCTGCTCTGAACTTGGCTAGTGGACGAATGAGCAATGAGATTTAAAAAAATACACAGTCATACTGACCTTCTGATTGGCTAAGATTTTCAGATCCTTAATGGCATATATGAGCTCCAGGTAGTCATCATTCTTGCTAAGAGATTCCAAAAATATATATCGCTCATTGATTGAAACATTGTCCAGGGTTGTTTCAGCCTGGTTACTGTAAGCGGCTGGCTGGGTTCTACACTCTGTTGAATTAGATTTGTTCAAGGAAACTGGCTGGTCTTGGTCTTCTTCATCTGAGTCAAGTCTGCTTACTCTTTTCTCCTTGGACTTCCTCTTTCATTCTTCATTATGAATGTTTGCACGTACATCACTGTCCTTGGCCTTGATAAAAATGACTAGCTTCTGTTTGGCAGCAGACCATTGTTCCCAATGATTCCATAGACAATTTACCTCCTCTGTCTTCATATGAGAAGGGTCTTTGACCATAAATCCAGTGGGAACTGAGCCAGGTTCCAAATAATTGGATGAGTTGGCAGTTATCACGCCCCAAGGCACAGGTCTAGAGCCACCTGTGCATACTTCTACAAATGGAAGAATCAATCAAATGTGACACATAATGAAAACATAAGATCTTACTGTAAGAAGCATGAAATATGCTTCTAATCAATTCATGTTGGCCCTTGAAGGTGATGACATCACAGGTTGGAAGTTTTGCATGCCCATCATCATCTAGTATAATTTCGGGTAAGACAGGGCCATTTTCATCATCCTCATCATCTGAACCTGCATGGTCTTCATCCCCTGAAGGGTCTATCAATTGGAGTGAACAATCAGTGAGCACATTGTGTAAAATAAAATGAGACACATACAAAAGTCGGTCTTGGACCATTCTGCGAAGGATTCAAATCCAGTGGCAGTCCACTCCTTGATACCGCTTGAGCTGACAGAGAACCTCTTCTTGGCATTTTGAGGCTCAGATTCATGTCTATAGTTTAGTTAGCCTTGAGATAACAAAGACAATTTGATTACTTACAAACTAACAGACAATGTCTGACTAGCTTTTTTCTTGTGACTCACAAGCATCCCCACATGACAACCCATGGTATGCTGTATTTGCTTCGAAAAATCCTCGAGAATTTTCTTGAGGTTGTTCTTACAGTACCTTGAGGCAAGTGAGACTCAGAGACTCAAACAACACTGATGATCAAGTCAAACTTACATAGCTTGACTGTCTTCTGGTGCCTCCTCCTTGTTCCATTCATTCATGGCAAACTTCACCTCCTCCTGTTGTGAAGATGTCATGTTGTCAAACCATTTCCTGGCATGTCCTGTCTGATACTTAATTGAATGTTTCAAGCCTTTCCTTTGCTGCTTGGCCTTGTCATACTGATTGATTTCCTGCTTAAATAATTTCTGTGCAACATCCCATTCAGACAGTGTTTTCTTGTAGAATGATGCTTCTCTTGGACAACTTGCAGCCTCTCATTCATCTGCCTCTTCCTTGTCTTGGATAATTTTGGCATAGTATTGTTTTATTCCCTGTACCAAGCATTCATTTAGATTGAATATAAGGTAGGGCTCATGCACAATCAACCAACCTGTGATGCCTTGTGATGCCATGTGACCCAATGTGACCAATGCCAACATGCAATGACCAGCATGTGACCCAAAAGAACAACTCGGAGTAAGTAATAAGTAAGTGTGTATCATATGTATCATATCAACTGTGCTATGAAGTTGCATCTAATTAATGAACTGGGAGATGTTGTATATGCTAGGTACAATAGATTATATGAAATGATAGGTGAATGATACTATTAAAGTCCAGCTTTCTCGAGCTCAGCAAGAATTGAGTAAGGGAGGACTTGATGACCTCTGTATTTTTTGCTTGCCCACGCCGCTTGTTTTCCCGTTAGGCCCTTTTTATAAGCATCCATGAATCTGTGAGAACGGTGTGCATATCTAAAATTTCAGGTGAAACAGAACAATCAAATAAAAAAGGGGGCTTACTTTTGCATTTACTCAACACTCACAGACTCCAGTGCATCAATGAGGTTCTTTGCCAAATCTTCCTCACTAGCTGATGGTGGCATTTGACGGTATATTTGCTTGGCATGCCCCCAGCACTGCTCAATAAAGTTGAGCTCACAGTGAAACTTCAGAAGGAACAGTACTGAGATTCCATGTGATTCAGCAGCAAGTTTGAGTGTAGATTTGACATTCACAAAGTCAGGTTCGTTGTACACCATCCGTCGACAGCAGCAATGCTCAACACCAGGCTTACATGCAAAATTCGGCCTACACTCTGCACAAACATTTGCCATATTGCCATAACCATGCTCCTCCAGAATCTTTGCCATGCCCTTGAAAATACCTGCACATGGATGGCCCTCAGGGAAATAGAATGACTGGGGGGAACCATCCTCGAAGGTGCCATCAGCCATGTGAATTTTCATCTTCATGGGCTTCCCATCAACACCATAAATAATTTTCCCTTCTGGATTCCTTGCTGTTACCTCAACACCCCAGTTTGTCCCAACTTTAGGTGTTCCTTTAGGCATTTTGCGTGTGGAGAGAGAGCCGTCAGGGCGCTTGAGATGAGTTTTTGCATTATCAAAGATGAACATATGATCTTCATCAGGCCAGTGCTTCTGAACAATTGCCATTGCATTCTCGAACTGTGCAAGGATTTCTTCATTTGAAAAATAACCATCGTGTGATTTTCCCGCCTTAAATAATATCTGTGCTGACTCCTTTCCATCAGGTGATCACAACCAGTCGTGATCTGCTGACACGAAGTCAGCAACCATCAGAGATACCCTTCCTCTTTTGTGTATGGAGTAGCACTTGTGTTTTTGTGCACCCATTTTGACTTCTTCTGGTCATTGGCATAGAATGTACTTTCATCGTGGAACCAGACACACAGAGGCCACTTGGTGTTGCAGATCTCTTCATTATCCTTTCCCCAGGTATGCATTTTTGCTTCCTCCTCTGCCCATTTCTTCAGAAAAATATGCTGACAATAATAGACAACATCTTCACGCTCGTTACCATCAATATATTGACCGCGGTGATCCTGAACCCAATGGTAGTCCATATGCCTCATCCAGCGCTTTGCTGTTGCCAGGGAGATGGTTTGTTTCATCTTCAGGCGTGTTTTGACTTCCTCATTGTCCAGATATGTAACAATGTCTTCTGCATGGACATAAGTGCCGATGGATTGAAGGTGCTCGTGGATCTCGTTAGCAATGTCAGGATCATTAAGCCATGATGATCCCTGTCTCCAACCAAATGGATTGATGGGGACATTATTGCAATCCTGCACATAGGCTTTGGTTGCCTCTCAAAGTTCCTGCGCCCACCAACTCGACCTTCCTTTCCCATTTGCCGTCAACAATGATGCAGCCATCCAAGCCTGGTACCCAGGAGAGCAGGGGTTCGTGTAATGGGTGAGGAATGATGTCATTGATTCAAGCCATAGTTTTGTCCAGTTTTCCAGCTTAGTGTCCTTATAACCACGGCCAGTGTTTCACGGTGGCTTCAACATGGTTTTGATATCTTTGAGTGCACTCGTAGCCTTGGAGACTTCGGGTGGCTTCCAGACTTCCCATGCAAGTCCTGTGCCCTCAGGACACACTCTGAGCTCTGCATTTGCCCCAAGTGGAGGCTCATCCTCAAAAATGTTTTTATCTGCTTCCTCGTCATCTTTGTCACCATTGATTTCCAGCTCACTGGCCTGCTCGGGTGAGTTATTCTCATCAACTCCTGGCTCGTCATGATCACAATCAGCTGTAGTGAAGATTTTATCAATGTTGTGACCAGACATTGCTGAAAGCAATTCCTGCGTCTCAATTATCTTGGCAGCATCGAAGATTAATTCTATGTTGAGTGAGAATGGAAGATTGGCTACATCTATGGAAGGTGAAGTGTTTAATGAGTCTTGCACTGGTGGTGGGCTGGAAGATGAGTTTGAGAATGTGACCCCAGGTATTTCCATGTCTGTGTTGGTGGGAGAGTCAACACCCACAGGCTGACAAGGATGTCAGACGTGAAAAACGAGTGTAGTGTCTCTGAGTCTGAAGCTTACCTGCACATTTTTCTTTTCTTTTGCTTGTGCCTGGTTGAGCCTGGTTCTCTTGGTGTTCCTTGTAGCATATTCACCAAGGTTCTTTAGGTTACCCAGTGCGCACTTTGGGATTATGCAGCCTGTGGTGCAGTAGTCTGACGATGCGGACGTGGAGGTGAAGGTTTACCCTTTTCATAGTGTTACCCCTTAATTGTCACACACAAAGATTTCATTTCCAAGCCCATAAGACTCATTTTTCTAATGGCACTTGCAATTCTCAATTTTTAAAAATTCCAGCCCCACAGAATTGTTCTAAATACAAATATGAAGAAGACTGCAGAATTTTTTTCGCCAAAAAGTGACATTTACGACGGCTATTAGCTGTACACTCCAAAGTCACACAAAAGTCACTGTTGGTCATTGTTAGGTACCGTGCTGACTCAGGAAGCAGAGGGGTCGGGGCTTGGCTTCAGCTCTTGCGCTGTGCCCTTAGCTGAGTACATGCCCCGAATTTGGAGTGGGTCTGATGTTGTCCGACAGTAGGACGATTGGACCGCTTTGGTCTGCTCTGAGGGTCGGGGAGTAAGAGCTACTAGCAGTGGGCCGACTAGGAGCGGAGCGGAGAAGGCGGGGAGTGATGTGGAGAGGGGATAGGAGCAGGGGAATATTGGTAGGGGTGGGAAAGGCAGAGGATAACACAGAGGGGCAAAGGAGGATATTTGATAGGGGCGGAGTAATAAGGGGAAGACTTAGAGCACAGCTCTAAGTCGGAGCGGAGGGTCGGAGGTGACAACAAGTTGAGACTTGTGTCCAGAGGAGGCAAGGTCCTACTGAGAATTCTCACAAGATACAACTGCGAGAAGACAAGTAATATTAAGACTGAGGAAAAATATCTAAGTACATGATATGCTATATACTACTATGTATGAGGCAGTGATCAGGATAACTATGTAGTAAAGCTATGTACCAAGAATATAGTTTGTAAGTATTTTACATAGGCAAAGACATAAGTCGGGGCGGATATCAATATGTACACATCGGATCAGTGATTGAGCAGTAATAGGAATTACTGGTCATCTGGAAGTAAGGGTCTATGTACCAATGGGGAAGGTATATATCTAAAAGGGGAAAGAGATCCAGTTGAATGGAGAGGTTATGGAAGGGGACTGGTTGAGCTGTTGAGTGGAAGCATAGGGCGGAATGCGGATTTGTGATTGGACGGAGCGGAGGATGGATGGGGCGGAAGGGTCAGAAAGCAGAGCGGATATCAGTATCAGAGCGGTCGGATCAGGTATATGACAGTCATGTGATGTTGGTTGGTTGTGCATGAGCCCTACCTTATATATATATACACATAATTAGACAATTGTTACCTTTGTCAAGGAAGTAGGCAAGGGCACATCCTCCTCTTGTTCCTTGTAAGCGGCCAGTATAGCCTTGTGAACCTTCTTCACCACAAGTCTTTGAGCAGATTTTGATTCCACATTCATAATGTCCTTCTGGTAAAGATCCAGAATTATTTTGAAGGTAGTAGTCTATTCAGAAGACATTGTAGTGGATTTGAAAAAAACAATGTGTGTGCAGTATGAGGGTGGCCAGCCGATAACACTGAGTTGAATATGAGTATTCAACAATATCATGTGACCGTGTTCTTTCAAATGAGAATCATGCCAAATCAATGATCATATTCTGACAGTAAACTCACGATCACATGACTCTGACATGATCACATGACACACCAAGGATCAAGAACACATTATACAAGGAATTGTAGACTTTGATGGTGATAGTAGAAACGAGTCAATCAAAATAATCAGATTCCAAGTTTTAACTAGGAGTAATCCAAAACAAGCAAAATGTACCACAAAAATTCACTGAAATGAGACGTAAAAATGCGAAAAACACTCAAGATACACCAAGCATATCATCAGGGATACCAGGTGTGGGCTCCAAGGCAATTGAAATCCAGCATGCACCTGGTCTTTTTCCTGGGAGAAGTATCTTTGAATTAGCCAGTTGTGAGAACAGATACTCTTTCCTGCATTTCACATTTTTGCATTCAAAGGCATAAGTCTTGTTCTTGTTGACAGAGTGCCAGGCGTTAGTCCACCCACAATCTGGGCATTGGACCAGGAGATACTGACCCCAAGGGTGAAGTTCATGATGTGTCCAGGAAGACTTCATGATGGTCAATGAATCAGGGGCGATGGGCACCAGCAAGAACATGTCACTGTGTCATCCCAGTTTGTAGGACTGGCCCACCATATCAGGGAAGGCCAGCTGAATGGGCAACCACTTGATAATGACAAGTTCCACAAACGCCAGCAGAAGGTGGGTTGCAAAACTGGGTTGGAAGTGGATGGTGTTGAAGCCGATGGTAGCCATTATGTGATGGCTGGTGTACAAAGTTAGTATTGGAGAAGCAAAGGACAACCACAGTGCATACTTTATGACCACCTGTTGCAGGCATCCAAATGAAGTGGGATCGTTGATGAGTGTGCCACATGAAAAAAGCCACAGGTACAATTCTTCTGCACTGTCGATGACAAGCTACCAAGGTGACAGGTGGATCTTGAGAACCTTTGGAGTCCAGTGATGGTGAGCAAGCACCATATGAGTCAAGAGCAGTCACTTACCGAGTAAACACGTGCCAAAATGTATACCTTCTTCTTCCCTTCATATCCAACAAACAGATCACCACCGTCGTTATCAGTGTGATTAGTGATGGCAATGACAACACGGGTCCAGTTTGACATCAGTTCCTGGATGACTGCACTGGCCTTGGACTGGTACCTTGTGATCTTTGAGGAATTGCTGATGTTGAATACAGCAGTGCAAAATTTGAATCCGCTGGCTGGGAAGTAGGGGCGAAGAAAGTCAGAGGTGAGTTCAAAACAACTGCCGGCAGTGTCATGATTGATGAGGACAAGATGGACCATGAGGATAGATGCCGGAGAGAGTTGGGACTTGAATGAGACTTCCAAAGTAGCAAAGATAGGGAGGAAGGACGAAAAGACTGGCTTGTCCCTCCGGTAAAATCCCTACAATTAAAGTGGATGTTAGTTAGCATGAATAAATGAATGAAAACTCACATAATATATTGGCGAGTATGACTTGTGTCCATGCCATTCTCTTGTAACATGGCAGGAAATGCACATAAATGTGGCACCATCCGCGTCAATCACATGTGCACCAGCGGATGGAATCTCCATGCAGTGTGAGCAAATCACCCAAGGGCATGTGTTGCACAAGAAGAGTCAATCATTCTTGACAGAATTGTCTCGGCAAATGAGACAAAACTGCAAAAGAAGATGTGCATTAGTGCCAAAAAAATATGCAGAAATGCACATACCTCATTGTGCATGAACGGCTTTGAAATTTCAAGCTCCTGCACTGCAGGAACTGCAGTTGTGACCAGCAACTTCAAAGTGATGCATGGCACAGTGCCACCAGTTGACTTTTTGCAGGTTTGTTTGGACCTCACCATAGTGCAAGATTAAGACTTGAAAGACCTATTAATAAATAAAGTTCAAATTAGTAAATCACACAAAGTCTAGCACTTACAAGTATACAGTGGAAAAAGGCTGCAAAATTGGGCACAAAGACCAGAGAGATGCTATTAATAGAATGTTCAAATTAGTAAATGATGCAAAGGAAATGGCACTTACAAGTATAGAGGACAAACAAATGTCAACTTGTCAAGAGAGAGCATTCTACAGGTACTTAGAGAGTGGTAAAGAAGTTGAAGTTTGGGGCGCTGGTTGATCTTGACAAACAAGTACAAATAGACACATCACCACAAAGTCGCATGTTGAATTTGTGGAAGCTGCAGTGTTGATGTTTGTTATATCGACAAACAAGGTCAAACTGACATGCAAATATGAACTTCAACTTCAATTCTCACAGTTCATTTCCTCCCTTCATCAACTTCATTTCTTTGTATGCTGTTATTTCAGGGCTACTTTTAGTGTAATCCTTTGAGTTCTTGCAGGCTGCAGCTGCAAGAATTCAAAGGTACTACTCTACAGTAGCCTGTCCAAATCAGTAAGTCAACATTATCTTGTGCACCTCTTGACTAATTCTTTGTATTTGCATGTACTACCTTTTCCTTGGGTTCCACCAAGGTAAGTACTTGTTTTCTTGTGCCGTCTAGCTAATTTTCCTCTGCTTAGCATCATGGGACCAAGGGATCCATTCCACCAAGGTAAGTACTTGTTTTATTGCGCCGTCTAGCTAATTTTCTTGTGCTTAGCATTATGGGACCAGGGGATCATGCAGTGCATGCCGCTTGTCAGCAGCTCCTGCTTATTGAGACTGGGGGCTGACTTTGTGATAGCAGTGCATGCTGCTTGTCAGCGGCTTCTGCAAATATATCTTATTACATAGACTCTTCACTAACACACTTGTTACAGGTGACTAGCATTTACCGGTCAACAGTCAGATTTTCTTTGTTGCAGTAAGTGTGCTCCTCTGCATGACATTGACTAATTCACTGTTTTTCTGCAGGCTATGTCTTATATTAGTAGGCTTCCTTTATTGGCGCAGCTTTCTTTTTTTTAATCTGGTAAGTGCTCTCCTTCCATGTGACCTCAACTGACAAGCTTGGTGCAGGACTCGAGCGTCTATGATGTGATTTGCTTAGTTAAGTGACACTGGGGTAGTTTTCTTTTGTTTATCCTGGTAAGTGCTCTCCTTCCATGTGACCATGACTGACACGCTTAGTGCAGGACTTGAGTTTCATATAATGTGCCTTGCTTAGTTAAGTGTATTATTTCTTTCAAATGTCTGTCTAATGTCGATGCAGGACAAATGGTACTGTAATTGTATAATTAGTTTTTTTTCATTCTTTTTACTACACACTGTTTCACTTAGAGTGTGAGGCTTTGGTGAGGAGGGCCCCTCACCAAAGTCTTGCAGCTCTCCTTTATCTTTTCTACTTTGATGATTTTCACACTTGTAGTAAATTTAGAGCGACTTCCCTTTGTAACAAATAATTCAACTTGATCTCATAACATTTAATTTGCTGCCAGTTGAAAAAGTCACGTGACCGTGTGCATATGTCTTGAGAGAATAATGGTACTTTACATTAACAGCCCAACCCCAGCCAAAACCTACAAGTGATGGAGCATGGCCGATGGTGGTCAGACATGAGGATAATTTGTGAAACCTGATCATATGAGACACATCATGATAGAACATGAAAGTACTTTGGTGATTTCACCTTCCTGTCATTTGACTAGTTTACATTTTGCCATTTTGTCAAAATCATTTATTGTGTTTATCACAATTTACTCTGTTTTCTCTAAGGTGCAAAAAGCAGGCAAAGCACGGGTCACAAAATTTATATGTGACTGGTATTCTGTCAGCATCTCTTGTCAGTATACCTTCGTCAACACTGATTTTTTTAAGTTTCTCAGCATGTTAGATAACACTAGCGTGCAAGATGCTCTCAGTGACATGTCCCTGAAGTCACATTCTGTCAAACTTCCACAATCTCAGCCTATACACATTCAAGTCAGTACAGGCTCCAGCTCAGATTGGGCTCAATCTTCTGGTGAATCTACTTCCCCATTGTTGGATTCTGTCCCACTACCAAGCTCTTTGACATCCGTGTTTCTTGCGACAGCTCTCAATAATGCATCACTCGAGGGCCATGCTACACCTTGCATTTCACTATCCCCACTTGATAATAATGACATTTTTAATCCAACTGCAGGCCAAAGCAAACACTGCTGAATTTGCAATTAATGGACCATAACATCCTGCTCTAGCTCCTTGTCATTCTCGTCAGCTCATTCTTGCCTGCTCTTGCTTGCTTGCTCATTATCATTCTTGTCAGCTCTCCCTTGCTCACTCACTCATTCTCATCTGCTCTTGCTCAATTGTTGTCATTCTCATGGGCTCTCACTCACTCATTCTTGTTATTGTCTGCTCTCATTCTTATTTCAGATTCCCATTCTGGCACCTGCATTGATTTCCATACAACTTTACAGTATTCATCAGGTAGATTCATGTGACTACAGGCACTATATACCATCCTGAATACCTAGAACACTTTATTTTCTGTTTTCCTCTGTATATCAGTATGCTCGAACTCATCCCACTCCTCTCGCCAGCAGTGTTTGAGTGTACCAATCATGGCCTCATCTTGGCTACAAAATTTGGCACCTAAGTCACTATACTGAGCCTAGGATGAGTCACTGCATGCCAATTGCTAATTTGGGCCACCCTTCCATTATGTAAATTGCATAAGTGACATCATGTAGTCATCATTGTTCAGATCAGTAGATTCTTTGAGAATCATTTCATATATCACTAATTTGAGTCACATTACATAAAATAATCACTGGGCAGTTGGTGCTGAGAGAGCTGGTTGAAATTTTTGCCTGCTCACCACCATGGACCAACTAATGAGTGAATCAATCAAGCTTCAAGTGGCTCTGACCACACGGATCAGGGAAATTATGAGGGATTCAGCAGTAGAGACAGCGGGAAGACAAGTAATATTAAGACTGGGGAGTAGCTAAGTACAGGATATGTTTTATATACTTCTATGTAGGAGGCAGTGAATAGTTAGTACTTGGTAGGAGGCTATGTACCAAGCATAATTTGTAAGTAGGCACAGGTGAAAAACATAAGTCAGGGTGGATATCAATATGTACACGTCAGATCAGTTAGTCAAGCAGTTATTGGAAGTACCAGTGATCCGGGAAGTAAGTACTATGTGCAAATGTGAAAGTATATACCTAAATGGGGAAGGAGTTTACAGGAGAATGGAAACAATGTGGAAGACAACCGACAGGGTGGTCGAGCAGAGCCATAGGAGCCGATGCAGGAGCCGACTGGGTTGGGCGGAGGGTGGATGGAGCAGCAGTGGTAGGAGAGCAGGGGAAGTAGGATGTCAGGCGGAGTGGATATTAATATTGATGGAGCAGTCAGATCAGGTATATGACAACTCTGCCTAGTCCTAGCTGGGGGAGGAGTAGGTTCTTCTTCAATGGGAGCCACAGTAGTAGGCAGCGCCTGTTTCCATGGAGTAGGTTCTTCAATGGGAGGTGGTATAGTGGCAGGAGTCAAAGTTGTGTCCATCATGGATTTATCAGAGTCAGGATCAGAAAGAGTACTACCTTTGCTGGGCTGCGCTTTGATAGATACAGACTGATATGACAAATTAGTAAAATATCCTGGAGTAAAACACACACAAACCTTGACTCATGCTGCTGCAGCATGACTTGCAAACTATTTTCTCATGCTGATTAAATCATCCTCCTCTTCATTGTTGTCATTGCTGACATCAAAGACAGGCACACCTTCCTTGTCACCAAAGACAGACCTTTATGAGAAGTATAGCTCAATACGAAGGCAGAGGACAAATAATACTTACATGTTCCACCACTTGAGCAATGAATCTGCCCATACCTTATTGAATAGGTCCTGAATGGCTTTGATGATTCAGCAGTATGCGTCACAATAGTCATAATTACCATCAGTTGCCTGCCATTTGTCGTGTGATGAAATACTGAAATGGCACTACAAATTATGTTGTGGATGACATTCACAGATAGGTAACAACATATGTGCCTGGACAAATGTATAGGCAATATGTTTGGCATTCACCCACATCATGTTGTGAAGCCTCGCATTGCCTGAGCGGGTGGTTATGGTCTCTCCGTCCTTGACAAGCACAGAGGAAGGACCCTTGAATATATGATGGAAAACCTGTTGTTGAAAGTTGAGCCAGCGCCAAGAAAGAAAAACATGTTACATACCCGTTTCATAAGATAGCCTTTGAAAAGGTTGTCTTGCATATTCAGTGGATCGAAGTTTTCTCTAGGTGAATCACCCTTGTATGCAAATGCAGGCCATGCAGCTGCATGCATCTTTACCTCTCCATTTTGCAGCTGTGCTTGAACTCTGCAAAATCATTTAAAATGCAACACTTTGGGTAAATATAAACCTACTTCTTGCAATCCTCATTGTAGGATGTAAGGTGTTTGATTGGACAGAGCATGGCAGTGAGTTGGGGGTGGTTGATACCCATCCTAGCGTGGGACTTCTTATCATTGGAGAAAATTGATGGTTCCAGCTCCTTCATGTCAGGCTCCACAGCCACATAATGTCCTATGTAAGGTTTTAGTTTACTTGTGTCTTCAGAGTGTATTTGCTTGATGGTGTCCTGCATCTTCTCATGGAATTAACGATAACAATTCTGTACACTACATGGATTAGTAGATGCACCTTGGACAGGATACTATCCAACTCCTTTTGATGTTTCTTGGTATTACCTGTTATGAGGTTGCGGAGGTAGGGTGCACTGATGAGGATCCTGTTGTAGGTCCTAAAGTAATGCTCTTGTACTTCTTTTTTTCTGCCAAAGGATGTTCAGGTATTTGAATAAGAAAACAAAGGCACTTACACATTTTGAAGGATTGCATGGCACTGGCATCGTCCTCAATCAGAGTGCCATCCTTGGCAGCTTCTTCCTGCTCAAGGAGCATACCAATCCTAAAGGTATCCTTGAGGGCAACATACATGTTGATCGCATGCAGAATCCAACATGCAATGTGCAGACATTGGTCCCTATTCCACTGCCAGTCAGTTCTCTCATGAAATAGGAGTGAGATCTACTGCATCTCATTAGAATCATCCCTACTATTAGGTTTTCTGTGAATATGCACTATTAACAGGAATTATTTTGTCAGTCCGTGCTTGCAACTCACTTCACCAGCCTTTTCTCAGCCTTTTTGCCCTTATCAGACACCTTTTGTGCCTTACTTTTTGTGATCAGAGTTGGAGATGAACGTGTTGATGATGCATCTCTTGAGATTGAGGAGTCAGATTCAGAGGTGCTACTGCCTTCAGATGCACTGATTGATATGGCACATTGTTTGTGAGGCATGGTAATATAGTACTACAGAAAAGTAGTAGGTGGTATAATATTAAGGAATAGTATGTGATAGTACACGTTGATATGATACTACACAGGAGTTTTCCGGTGGGCTATGAATTCTGTCATGTGATGGTCGTATTTCAGCAGTTGACTAAAGTTATCCAATGTTTTCATATAATTGGTGGTAGACTCATATTACAATTAATCTTGATGCTACAACAAGTATGAGCAACAACATATGCAGTGAGACAGGTGACAGCATAACAACAAGTAAGTATGCAAAAGTATGCAAAGTTAGCAAAGCAAGAACATAACACAACAGTATGTGTGAAATGAAAAATACACAATATCCTTGGTCACAGCTGATACACCAGCAGGCAAAATGTTGAGCTTGCCAAATGCTGAGATCAGTAAGTCTGATACTGGTCTGAAGGCATGTGCATGGTGAGGGGGCCAAATTGAATTTTCATCTTGAAACTTGCATTTTTTCATGACTGAGGCAGGCTCTTTTTGAATACCTAGGAAGTGCACTGGAATGGACCAGATGAGTGTAGAGATGTTCCTGCAAATACAGTGAGGTTAGACACACAATTTTTTTTTAAAAAATACTTTGGCTTATAAGATGTCTCTGAGATTGATATACTAGTGTCCATCGTGGTACTGTGCAAGGATCTAGGGAAATACATCAATCTATGTACTCGCCAGTGCAACAAGCAGTAACATACTGTTTGCCTGATTTTTTCTCTGCTGGTGTCTCTGTGTCGCTGTCTTGATCCCAGGAGAGCTTTGACGCATCTTTTAAGTGCAAGATGGGCTTCTGTAACATAGTTAACATAATACTCGGGTATTGTGATGCATAAACTTACAACAGGGCCTGGATTCTTTGGTGTAAACTCAAGCAGGTATGTAGGCCAGTCAATCAGAAGATTTTCAACATTGATGACAATGAAATTGCCATCAACACCGAACTTGTAGCTAATGTCGAGGGGTCCATCAGGCAGTGACATTAAGAAAAAAATAGTAGGTGATACGGTGGTAGTATAACATTAAGGACACGACTTGGATTTTTCGCATCAACCATCTAGTATCAGTGAACCACAATTTGCCAGCAGACTTTTAAATCAACACCCAAACAAAAATTCGAACTTACGAGTTTTTGTTCTTTAGTTAGTACCATTGGGCACCCACCCATTCCAGAGACCAATACACGCACTTTGCACAGCTCCCCATTAGTGGGACACTTTCAGCTGCTTAGGCACTGATCTGTGACCAACCACTGTTATCTTGTGTCTCCTAGGTCCCTGAGCACTGGTGCATTGAGTGGGAAGAAATAATTGAGCAAGGTATAGATGACAAAGAAGGGGGAGTCAACTATGGAGCTCAGATGGATGTTGACGAGGGCATCATGTTTGAGCAGGTAATTTCAATCATGTATTCATATCTACTTCAGTGACGATAACTTTACAAGGATGAAGATTTTGCAGGACCATTGAACATTCCCCACTTGCCCTCATCTCCCCCAGTCACATCTAAGCACTCTGGATGTGCAGTCCACATGCCCCGTCAATTCATCAACTACCTTCCAGGGTCAGCTATGTACCTGGCACATATGCCGCCAACTAACCGGCAGCAATAAGGACATGATCTTCATGATCAAGGCAATCAAGATTGGGTGCTGTCTTTGTCCCCAGCCCTGGTTTCTGAGCCAGAAGATCTCGCCCCTGCACTTATTCCCTTCCAGACAGAGCCTGATATGATGGGGCTTTACCATGTGTAGACCATGCTCAAACAGAGAAGCGGAGGGGTTGGGGCTTGGCTTCAGCTCTTGCGCTGTGCCCTTAGCCGAGTACATGCCCCAAATTTGGAGCAGATCCAATGATGTCCGATGATAGGACGAGTGGACCACTTTGGTCTGCTTTGGTGGGTCAGGAGGTAAGTGCTGCTAGCAGTAATCTGACTAGGAGCGGAGTGGAGAAGGCGGAGGAAGCTTATTGGAACGGAGGGGAGCAAGGGGAACAATAGGGGGAGTTGGAGAAGTAAGAGCAAATACTTTAGAGTGCAGCTCTTAAAGTCGGAGTGGAGGGTTGGAGGTGATGACAAGGTATACTTGTGTCCGGAGAGGGAGCAAAGTCCTACAGAGAATTCCCACTAGTAGAGACAGTGGGAAGACAAGTAATATTAAGACTGGGGAGTAGCTAAGTACAGGATATGTTTTATATACTTCTAAGTAGGAGGCAGTGACTGGTTAGTCCTTGGTAGGAGGCTATGTACCAAGTATACAATTTGTAAGTGAACACAGGTGAAAAACATAAGTCGGGGTGGATATCAATATGTACACATCGGATTAGTTAGTCGAGTGGTTATAGGAAGTACCGGTGATCCGGGAAGTAAGTACTAAGTGCAAATAGGGAATGTATATACCTAAATGGGGCAAGGAGATTTACAGTAGAATGGATGATGTGGAAGGCAACTGACAAGGCGGTCAAGCAGAGCTGTAGGAGTGGATGCAGAAGCCGACTGGGTTGTGCGGAGGGCGGATGGAGCGGCGGTGGTAGGAGAGCAGGGGAAGTAGGATGTCAGGTGGAGTGGATATTAATATTGATGGAGTGGTCAGATCAGGTATATGACAACCCCACACATCCCACTCAAGCACCAGAGGGTGAGTTGATGTTAGAGGGTGTGACAGATGCTCCTACCCTCAATGGTGAACAGCGCACACCTTCTGGAACCCACCCTGGACTCTCCACACCTGAAATCACTGCTGATCATTTATTCAATGTGTTCTCAAACCACACCTCTGGAGTTCTAATGGTGTGGCATTATTCTGGAACAAATAGTAATTCAGGGGCTAATGTCAATTGCCTTGCAGAATACCTTAGTTTGGACCCCCTTTGCTCACTCTCACACTTGAGTGGATTTAATTTCATGCGTGAAATAAAGTTATTGGACAAGTAGATTGAAGATAAGTCCAACCCCTTTTGAGAAGAATATGGATGGCACCAATCCACCATTAAGGTTCAATTACCAAAGGAGAAGATGAAGGTCCCATCAGAAGCCAATGCACCTCAACTCAAGATCCCAGGTGTTTACCACCATTCCTTGACAGATATCATCATGCACGCGTTCGAGAGCGCAACATCTTGCAGACCTTTAATATGACACTGTTTGATCAGTTCTGGACTGCTCCTGACAACCGCATGGTCAAAGTCTTCTCAGAGGCGTATACATCCCCCACCTTGTTGGAAGCTTACAAAAAAAGTCAATGCCCTTCCTCATGACCCTGAAGATGATCTTGAATGCATTGTTGCCTTAGTCATGGTCTGGTCAGATGCCACACACCTGGCTAGTTTCAGTGATGCATCCCTATGGCCTTTTTATGTATTTTTAGGCAACTAGTCCAAGTATACATGAGGCAAACCCACAGCTCATGCATCCCATCATTTGGCGTATATTCCAACAGTACATCATATCATTCAATACTGACATCTTACTTGTGCTTATGATTCTCAGCTTCCCGATAATCTACAGGAAATATATGTCGACATATTTGGAGAGGCCACCTCAAGTGATGTATATACACATCTGAAATGTGAGCTGATGCACAATGTATGGAGATTAATTCTCAACAGTAAGTTTATGGAAGCATATGAGCACGGAATAGTGATCCGGTGCTCTGATGGGATCACGTGAGGAGTATTTCCACATTTCTTTTCATATTTGGCTGATTATCTGGAAAAGTGAGTACATGTTTCATGTTACATGTGAGACATAAGGGATTGACCAACACATTGCACAGGGTTCTCCTTGCTACTATAAAATTTCTCGGACAGTGTCTTTGCCCACACTGCCTCATCAAGAAGGCTGACATCCACAAGATGGGGATGAAACTCAACATGAAGAGTTGCATGACTAGGCAGTGATTCAATGACTTTAGACAACAACGGCATGTCGAAGAAGCTCGACAGTTGATTTTCCGGCTAGGAGTGCCTGTGTGTGGGAGTCATGTCAGAGCACTTCTCAATGAAGCATCATACATTCTGATCCATGTAAGTAATGCTACATATTCTACATTTCTTTTAACTAATATATAGTTTCAGAGTGCCTTTTCTGAAAGACTGGCTGATCATGGATTCAATATGTTTGATATGTTTGTTGTTGATCAGCTTCACAAGTTCAAGATCAGTGCTTGGAAGGCACAGTTTACTCATTTGATGCGCATACTTCATGTGGCTGGAGGGAATGCAATTCAAGATCTCAATAGACAGTAATTTTCATTTTGTATATAATTTGTC